CAAAGTACTCTTTCAGGCATTGTTTGGCAGCACCATATGCCTCGTCATTACCGGTATCTGGTATAGATCGGAAAATTTCTCGCACTCTGGAGCCAGCCTGATACAGAAGAAGTCCCCGTTTGCGTTTTGGGTCAGTTATCCCTGAAGCCAAAATATACATGTCAAAATCTGAGAGCCATTTGTCCCATCTGGTGGCTAAGCTTGCACCGACGTGTGCTTCGGGTTGAAATTCAGGCATGGGCTGAATTGCGACAGAAATCGCTTGATGAGACGTCTGTACTTGCTCGGCTTGTTCTGGATTCTCTGCCATTGTTACAAATACTTAATCACACTTTATCCCATCCTCGTCGCCAATGTAATGTTCTCATATTTCATTTTGTGATATTTTAATGTACAAACTCTACAACGACATACATGACCAATGCAAATCCAGTAGTTCAAATCTCACGTCGACAGTTCAAAAGAACACGTAAACATCATCAGCGTCCCAGCAACATAAAATCCGTATAATTATATGTGGTTGGACGTGAACCAAGTAAACCACAACAAATTCCAAAATGTCTAGTGTTAAATGCAAGATCAATTGTAGAACCATGCAGATGCTCTTCCAGCATAATAATGTTATGCAGCCCTGAATAATAACGCTAGTGACATTTGTTTCATTTCTGAGACATGATTAAACAACTTGTTTGTGACACCGGCCAAAATTACGTTACTCGAAATTCCAGAGAATACTATAGTTCCTTTGCTTGCTATTGAAATAGTTCTCAGTTATCTTTAAAAACAAAAATGAACATCATCAGGACCAGATGATCTCCCGTACTGGTTTTGGAAAGATTCGAATTGCATGGCACCAACCATTATTATAGGCAAATAATTTATTTAATATTTCATTGCCGGAAAGCCACCCCAGTTCCTGTGACGTGGAAGCAAGCTAATATCATACCTATACCTAAAGAATTAATCCACTCTCAGTTCTTACAATCAGTTAAGACCTACGTATATCCTTGCCAGAGATCCTCATAAGATTATTTAAGAAATGCGTTTAAAAAACTGAAATTGCGCACATTGTTCAAGATTTTATCGACTCGGACCAATTTAATTTGCTTTTAGAGATGGACATAGTTCAATCATGGCCTTGATCAATGCCAAAATATGTGGTTAAAATGGATGGAAAAAGACGCCAAATATGCGAGAGTCTTCTCCTTTTATTTCAGTAAAGCGTTTGACAGTGTTCCGCACGACCTTCTAGGCAATAAATTGAAAGAAATTCATCTTAACCAATATATTATCAACTGGACAATAAGTTTTCTGGGAAAACGCCAACAGAGAGTAAAGGTTGGAATCACAACGGAGTATATGTAAAAGCAATAGGGGTGTTTCTAAAAGGAGGTCCAGTATTATTTTCTATTATGGTTAATGACATCAGAGCGGTCTACACTAAGAACGATTTAGCGAAATTTTCACTGAGCCGACTTAATCGTAAACCATGGTTGAAGATCTTAGGAATACTTTTAGAAGACCTGCCTAATAAATTGGATTTACGAATTGATGAAGTGGTAAGAAAAGCTAGCTCAAGGATGTATATCATGCATGTCTGTAGCCATTATGGTTTGGCAATAAAACAGCTGGATCTTGTGTTCAATGGCAATGCCTCGATTTACATGCGGCTCTGAGCTTTGGGGAGGTGCTTAATTGTTATGCATGGCAACCATATAATTATACCAGATCGAAAAATTAATCAGACGTGCCTACACAAACAGATACATATCAGAGGAGATAAACTTTGCGGAAATCATCTCCAAAGAAAAATTAAAATTATGGAACAATATAATGAGTAATAAGAATGATGCCCGGCATAGACCTTGAGACAAAAAGGGCGCGAATTCGAATTGCCGATTGTGAGATCTGAATGATTTTTAAAAATGTTCCTTACAAATAGATGCCTTTTTTAACCGTCAGCAATTTAATTGTCATTTTGAAAACAATTTTTTTAAAAAAATGTTTCGAAAACACAATATGAAATGTGGAAGGGGAAAAGTTTAAAATATCATCAGAACTGGAAGAGTTAGCGGTGAAAAGGAACAACTCGTAGTTTATAATCCTTGATATGGTAGGTGTCTACTTTGTTTATTTCGAGGTTTATTTCGTGTTTGCTGTACGAATACATTTTACGACCTTTGGTACATGCACTTTGTCGTTTTTGCTCGGTTTTCGAAAAACAACATTCGATTAAAATATTGAAGGTTATAGGTCTGGCTTGCTCAGGAAATATTTTGCTTCGTTTGAAATGGCGAGAGCTAGGTTGCTGCATGAGTATATATATTTTAATACTTTGTCGTAATCCATGATATAATTCCCATTGTGGCTAACGGTTACGTTATTTTATCGTACATAAAAGTTGAATTAATTGTCATTGCCAACAAATAAACACTTCTATCTTTTTATCTATCTATCTAAGACGGTCGAAGACAAAGGAAGTTTTCCCCCCCCTCAGCTGCGAAACTTTTGCCACGCCGCACTTTGGCTTGCACGCTGAAAATTATTTTATCTCCGTACTGAAACAATACTTCAGCCAAGGTGTTGTGCGGTGGAGCGAACAGTGAGAATACATTAATTACTTTTTTCACAAATCAACAGCGGGCGCGGAAGCCTATATAGCCTTTCCCGCAATCTGGTTGGCTGCAGCAGCGGGCGGAATCAGTTTACGATATCTGACCACGGACTCGTCCAATATTTTATGCTCGAGCGAAAGCGTGTTTTTATGTTTTGCTTTTCTAAAAATTTATTCGCAAACTTTTGACTTTTTTATTTAAATTTGTATATGGACTAAATAAATATCACAATAAATTGAAGTGAATTTTAGTGAATTAAACGAATGTGGTTTTGATTGTTTATGTTTTTGTCGCTACTGATGAGTCTGACTACACAATTATAATCAGATCGAACGCCGCTTTTTGTGAAAATTTATGTAAATAATTTAGTATATCCTGAAGAGACAAAGGGTTGAAATGGGATAGATAATACTGATTGCATACAGCATTAAATGGAGTTTTTAATTACATACCTCATAAAAATATAATTTTTCTTCCCGAACAAACCTTGAACCCTTTATTTAGCGCGATTGTACTAATAACTTTATGAGTGAGTAGCAGATTGACTGAATTTTCGCTCGTTTGTACCGGAACGAGAAAAGTTTTAAGACACATTGTACATAAATTTGTTTAAATTTTTAGTCGTGCTGCATGCGATGTAACAGTATAATCATGACATCATAACATACTTAGCATACGTTAGTTTAATAAAAAGACAATTTATATTAAATATACGTTGTTTTATGCTTGCTTGGGAACATTGAAATGTTCGCGTATCGGAAATATAATAAAATGTACTGTAGCCATACAGTTCAGGTTTCAATTATCAACTTTCCGCGTTCAGCCAGTTGTAGGCGTACTTAAGAGATAATGCAGCTGTTATAGAGATAGAAATTGTTATCGGAGGAGGTAAATTAGTTTTTTTCCCACCTGATGCACGCATGCATTCGAGTCAAATATCGCTCCCGCAACCTCTTAATAAAGAGCGCGTAAACGATTCAAAGTGAACACCACAGATTATCGTTGCGTTTGCCGACGCTTGAAGGTAATAAAAAAGTTATATCCTGGAGTATACGGACACAACAGGTATACAAACAATGTCAGAGGTAGTACATTTTAATGTATATATTTTAAATATAATAATCCGTCAATTGATCCCAAAATAGCGCTCTGGCTATTTTTTGTATTTTCAAATGTTCAACACTTCTTAATGTAAATTCCGTGTCTCTTATGTGAGTTTTTAACATATTTTTCGCACTTATTTATAGCATAACTCGCTATAATCCGCCTAGCGGGCATAGCTCGCTCCATGTAAACAGGCCTCAAGTATACTCCGTTTAATACGTCCTTTTCATGCTTGCACACATGTGTTATAGTCCATATTTCTATTCAGCTATTTTCTTCGCAGTCAAATTCTCTGCTGGCCAAAGGTCCGAATCTTGTCGGTTTTATTCTGCATGAAGCTAAGCAGAATTAGAAAAAAACAGTTAAATCCATGAAAAATGTACCACTGGCAGATGATCATCAATAAAAAAGAATGACAAAATTCTGTAGCTGTCATGTGTACTAATTTGCAATTTCCATAAATAATGGCAATTCAAGTAACCGTTACCCCATAGTATTTTTACCCCGACCGTTAAAATATAATTTAATAACAGAATTATGTTGCTCAAAGATTTGCCGTTGCTCTTTCAACAAGCTTTTAAATCAACCACTTTCATGCGAAAATTTTCATTTGAATAGGTAAAGGATTGACGTGTAATAATCATATTGCGTTTTCACACCATCAAGTGCTCATTAAAAGCTTTCCAAAAAAATTATGTGACAGAAATTGAAGTGAAGATTAACATACTATATAGGTCTATAAAGCCCGTGAGCAGGCGTTATCTCGTCACGATACAGACAACAGAATTACTATGACCAATGGACGACTTGCGCTTTAGACTAATTTTTGATAGAAGTGACTAGAAGAAAATAAATCACCACCGCTGGAAAGATCTTACTTAAATTAGTGCAGATGCAAAGTTTGGCTGCAAAATTTTGTAAAATACGGAAAGTATAGCCATGCGAAGTTGGCATATTTTGTATACTTTTGTATTACGTGCGGAAATGTGTAACTAAATTAGTTACAAACTTCCAGCCATAATACAAAAGTATACAAAAATCGTCAACTTCGCATGGCTGTATTTTCCGTATTTTACAACAACTTCCAGCCAAACTTGGCAGTTTTACTAATTTTAGTAAGCTCTTTCAGAAAATGTCCTTTTTATCGTCAATGTAAGAAATTAGTCTAAAGCGCAAGTCGTCCATTATATGCTGTGAAATATGACGAGTTCATTCAAATTTTAACTTTCAGAACTCGAGTAGCAGAGATTTAGACTCCCACACTGCGCTATGGATGCCACTTCATCCAGTTATCAGGCGAGTTCAAACGCCGCGCCCCCGAATAAAGTTATAACAAAAAAAGATCGACGAGCACAGTTGGTGAAGCTATTCATTGTGGCGTTTGTTTCCATTGGAACCGTTGCTCTCACTATATTCGATGTGATTCAAACAGCTAAATCTCTAAAGAAGAAAATTGAGCTGACTGATAAAATTCACGCGAGTATTGATGCAGCTATGTTAATTCATAGTTTGCAAAGAGAGAGGAATGACCGCATTATACTCCACTCAAAGTCTGTTGAACTCAGGCGGACGTATGCTACGAGAATTTCGGGAAAAAACGGATGAAACTATCGTTAAATTGAAAACGAGAAATGGTCGAAGCCTCGATAAACTATCGGACGGTAAAGAGCCATTTGAGAACATTTTAAAAGAGGCTAGGCGTATAATCGACGAAGGAGAAGCATCAACTCTTGATACTTTGCAGAAATACCGAGAGTGGATTGATGAGCTTATTTTTACGCTTACAGGATATTTGAGGTCGGAAAACTTAGGGGGATACGCGCACTTGGTTTACGCATACGAGCTTTTAATCATGAGTAAAGAAGAAGCTGGGATGGAACGAGCACTTGGCGGTTTAAGATTTATGGAAGGAAAAAATTTCAGTTATGCAAACATGACATGGTACATACAGAAAAGCACACTTGCCCAACAGTACCTCAGGATCGGTTTCCTATTTTCGAATGAAATGAAGGAAATTCATTCTTCTGTATTCGCTAACAGTACATACTTGATGAAAAAAATCGAAAGAAAAAGAAAGGTTTTATTCAGCGAATCTCACACAGAACCGTCTAAAAAGGATGGTCTCGAATGGTTTGATTTGATGACAAAATACAATAACTTGTTGTTGGAATTACAGATGCAGCAAGCTGACATGATTAGCACAAAGGTCGACAAGACAGTTGCTGAAAATGCAAATCAACTCATTATCCGGTCGATGCTTTTGTGTTTTACCTTGATTATTGTGCCAGGTATTATTTTATCGTTAGGAAGGGTCCAGAAACGTTTCTACGAATACACATTGTCATTGTTCGATAAAGTTGGTCTAGAGCAAGCGAGAACGGACTTTTTAATGAGAGAAAATTCAAGAAACATTGAGAGTAAGTTGTTGTATAGCTATAGATTCTGCACGCATGGGCAATTTGTCCAGAGAAGTGTTTGCGCTTACTCTAGGTGATAATTATTTTAATTTATTCTATAGCTATTAGTTCATATTCTCCGTCTACTGCTGTGTATATATATATATATATATATATATATATATATATATATATATATATATATATATATATATAAATATATATATATATATTAATATATATATATATATATATATATATATATATATATATATATATATATATATATATATATAAATATATATATATATTAATATATATATATATATATATATATATATATATATATAATATATATACACCCATTTGCAAAAACGTTGGCCGCAGATAGATAGATAGATAGATACTCGAAGTCTAATTAGAAATGCATATGGCTAGATTTGCATGGGATTTCAATCATATTACACAACATATGCAATTCTAATTAGATTTCGAGTATCTATCTATCTATCTATCTGCGGCCAACGTTTTTGCAAATGGGTGTATATATATATATATATATATATTTATATATATATATATGTATATATATATATATATATATATATATATATATATAATTATATATATATATATATATATAGCTTCAATTCACCACATCGCGGTGTTCAAGAATTAAACTTTTAATAAATCAAATCAAATGCATCTTGTAATATATACTACGTTTCGGGGCGCAGCCCTTTCGTCAGAAATGTTTCTCTACTAATCCTAAGCCTTCTTATATAGTTACAACACATTTGCATACATAAATTAACTTTAAGTTTCCTCCCTCACATTTAATCCCATAGGACAATAAGTCATTAACTTTTCTATCCAAAAACTTTCCCTCTCATTAGGTTTGTTGATATCAGTAACATCAATTATTTGAACACTTATGTCCCCTAATCCCTTATGTCCTTGTTCAAAAAAATGTGCATATAAACCCTGACCACAAATACCTCTCTGACCCCTACCAAAACGTAACAATGAGCTTTTATGAATATTAAATCTCAACCTAAATGCCGTAACCGTGTTCCCGACGTACTGTAGATGGCATGTCTTACAAGTTATCAAATAAATCACCCCTTCCGAATCACAATCAAAGGCATGATTTATGTGATAAACTTTACCTGTTGAAAAGCTATCAAATTTAGACCCCAAGATAATATAATTACACACTTGACAGCGCTTCTTACCACACTTAGACATGCCTCTATCCGAAGTTTCAATACTACGTAACTTAGACCTGACCAGATGATCTTTAAGGTTCCTCGGTCTACGAAAATTAACAGTGGTTTTTCAGGTAAAACATTAAAAAAATCCGATGACATCTCAACTATACCCTGCATTTCCTGCAAGGTACCCTTTAAACAATTAAGTGCCGGATGAAAATCCAGTACCAAACAAACCCTATTGTCTTGACCCTTACACTGATCAGACACAATCTGATGATCATAATTCCTAACCCTATTAAATTGTTTCTCAATAAAACCCCGATCATAGCCTCGCTCCATCAAGAAACCCCTTAGATCATCCAGTCTACCCTCCAAAATTTCCTCCGAACTACAAATTCGTTTAAGCCTAAGTCCCTGTCCATGCAATGCAAAATACTAATGAAAAGTTGCCCGTAGATGGATTGATAGCTTTAGCCAAAATATTATTGGAGAATAATTATTTTGAGTTTGACGAGAAAGTATTTCGTCAGAAATTGGGTACAGCCATTGGTACGAAGTTTGCCCCGGGGTTGGCCAATATTTTTATGGGATATCTTGAGGAAAAGTTTATCAGCTCTTGTGAATTAAGACCTTGGGTTTGGTGGCGATTTTTGGATGATGTTTTTATGATTTGGCTTCATTCGGAAGAGGATTTAAATATATTCTTACACCGTTTGAATACATTTCATAACAGCATCAAATTTACCTGGGAAGTAGGTTTTAGAAAGATTTCCTTTTGGGATGTGGCGGTGACTCTTACCGATGATGGTTTTGATACTGATGTGTTGAGCAAGCCTACTGATGCACATCAGTATTTGAATTATGGTTCGTGTCATCCGTCGCATGTCAAGAGGGGGATACCATATGGACAGGGACTTAGGCTTAAACGAATTTGTAGTTCGGAGGAAATTTTGGAGGGTAGACTGGATGATCTAAGGGGTTTCTTGATGGAGCGAGGCTATGATCGGGGTTTTATTGAGAAACAATTTAATAGGGTTAGGAATTATGATCATCAGATTGTGTCTGATCAGTGTAAGGGTCAAGACAATAGGGTTTGTTTGGTACTGGATTTTCATCCGGCACTTAATTGTTTAAAGGGTACCTTGCAGGAAATGCAGGGTATAGTTGAGATGTCATCAGATTTTTTTAATGTTTTACCTGAAAAACCACTGTTAATTTTCGTAGACCGAGGAACCTTAAAGATCATCTGGTCAGGTCTAAGTTACGTAGTATTGAAACTTCGGATAGAAGCAAGTCTAAGTGTGGTAAGAAGCGCTGTCAAGTGAGTAATTATATTATCTTGGGGTCTAAATTTGATAGCTTTTCAACGGGTAAAGTTTATCACATAAATCATGCCTTTGATTGTGATTCGGAAGGGGTGATTTATTTGATAACTTGTAAGACATGCCATCTACAGTACGTCGGGAACACGGTTACGGCATTTAGGTTGAGATTTAATAATCATAAAAGCTCATTGTTACGTTTTGGTAGGGGTCAGAGAGGTATTTGTGGTCAGGGTTTATATGCACATTTTTTTGAACAAGGACATAAGGGATTAGGGGACATAAGTGTTCAAATAATTGATGTTACTGATATCAACAAACCTAATGAGAGGGAAAGTTTTTGGATAGAAAAGTTAATGACTTATTGTCCTATGGGATTAAATGTGAGGGAGGAAACTTAAAGTTAATTTATGTATGCAAATGTGTTGTAACTATATAAGAAGGCTTAGGATTAGTAGAGAAACATTTCTGACGAAGGGGCTGCGCCCCGAAACGTAGTATATATTACAAGATGCATTTGATTTGATTTATTAAAAGTTTAATTTTTGAACACCGCGATGTGGTGAATTGAAGCTATATATCTAAATAGTTTTTTCTTTTGGACTGGCTCCTGATGTATATATATATATATATATATATATATATATATATATATATATATATATATATATATATATATATATATATAAATATATATATATATTTATATACAAGTTGATCATGATGTTATTAAAATTGCTACTTTAGAGTAACATAAATATCATGCGGGTAGTTAATTTGATGTGATCTTTACCGGGATTGTTTGACCCTTTGAGAATACTATATGCTTCAAGAAACCAACGTTGCCGGTAAAAACGTTGCCGGAAAACATCGGTATTATCAACAAATATTCGGCTGTGCCATGGGCTTCCTATTCGTGCCACCATACATTATATAGCAAATATAATCATGGAACACATTCAAGATCAGTTTATTACAATGATTACATCAGCAGCGCACCTGATAACACCTGATAAGAGTACTACAAAGCAATGGATATTCCACCAGCCCTATACACCCAAGGAGTTTCAGAGTATATTGTCACGCGAAAAGCTCAAAGTTTACAAAGCTTTACAAAGCTTTTCAAAATCTTATAATTACAAAGCCTTACAAAGCTCAAAGCTGGCTACAAACCTTGAACATTAGAAACTTGAACAACTGCTTTCTAAAACCCAAAGACAAACAAAAAATTCTGCAGTTTAAGTAAGTGGTATACCAAATCAGCTCTCAGAATTGTGAATTTGTGTATATTGGACAAACCGAACGTGCACTCCGGACCCGGATCAAAGAACATCAACGAGCCATTACTACACAGGATAAGAATTCTAAATTAGCCCAACACGCAACTTTACACAAGGACATCATAAGCTTGGAAAACCCGAAGATTATAGAAAAAGGAAGCAATTAACGGCAACGCTTCAAACATGATATTCCCAAAGGGCCACCAATGCCAGTAATGATCACATCGAATTACCTAGCTCAAGTACAGGCTGCATGTTTAAAAAAAACGCAACCACTTAAATATGCAAGACATTAATACAGCTCTAAAGCACAATAGATATAAGCATTTCTGGGAATTGAAAATGGCTCTTAATCGTTCATTTAAAATGCTAAAAGTTATTTTAGCTGAACTGTGGTGCAAACCCGAACAATATTAATATTCTTGCATATTTAAGTGGTTGCGTTTTTTTGAGACACCCTGTATTTATGTTACGCTAAATTAACAATTTTAATAACAGCAACTTGTACATAACTATAGCATGTATAATATTTTCAAGCAGGGCTTCCATAATTTATTTGCATATTGCTTTCCTCCAACAGCAAGGGGAGCTGAGAGAAACAAAGAACTATTAAACATTTTTTACAATTATTATTATTATTACTTTATTTGTGGAACTATTTAACCAGGTTGCAGTTTAGACACGTCATATTTCGGTTTATAATACACTTATTAAAAGGCTGCTATAAAAATTAATTTAGATAGCTTGATCACCCAGCTATGCGTCTTTACTGAATGCATGTATAAGTTAAGGAGACGATCTGCTGATTTTAAGATGGACCATACAGCACTTAGCTCCCTAGAAAGCTCCCTATTTTTAAATCACATTTTTCTATCTAGAGAGTGCAGTAATTTGAAACTCGATTACACGGTTTTCATTTCTAAGGAAATTTCCTTAGAAAAGTGCTATGGGGGAGGGGATCATTAATAATTGCATATAATTATACATTCTTTTAAAAATATTTGTTTCTCTCTGCTCACCATCCCTGTGCGAGGATGCAATATGCAAATAAATTATGAAAATTCTGCTCGATTAGATAGGGAGTGAAATTTTCATATATTCATGCTGAAATAAGCGTAGAAACAATCCCTATCAAAATAAATCTTTCAGGCATAAGACGAGTGTATGAATATCTCCTCCCCCTCCATGCAATTATGTGAAATAACGTGAAATAATTAAAAACTTTTCCTAACAATTGAAATTTTAGATTTGTCACAGAAGTGGAAGGATTTTTCCAATCATAACCATGGCCCGAGTTATAGCAACAGAGTTGCTCCCAATGCTGTTGTAAATTGTAGCCAGTGAAAAAAATGCAGAAGAAGTGAAGAAAACTTCTTGTGGGTTAATTGTTCGAAGTATTTCGTGTTTTTAAGCAGTGGTGTTTCACCTATCTATAATTAATGCATTTATAGCTTTGAATTCGAAGAATTAAGGGTGCATGTGAACTCTGTATTAAGGGTGCATGCATGTGAGCTCAGCGCCGGATGATTGCGTATAACCAGCTGACAGGTTGAATGTTTTGAAGTAAAACCATATATACCAGTCGCTTTGTGCTGTTTGTAATTAATTAATTCTTATTGACCAATAACAACTTAGATATAGTCTCTATGTATATATTTAGATACACGACTACATTTGCTTTGTAAATTGCAAAACGCGAACCGTCCAACTGAATTTCTTTACTACTGATATACAGTCATCGTCACTTTTTGCATCAAGGTGAAAATGTCACCATTACAGGGAGGCAGAAAGCATCTCAAATTTGATGTGGACACGCCTCCTGTATAAATCACTTCAAAAAGGCAGCTAGAATTTCAATATGGTAGTTTGAATGTCAAATATTAGTTCGACTTAATGAATTTTGCTTACCCCTTCCGCAGGTCAGTTTTCTGAGCATCAATAATGACACATTAAGTTTTACGCCGCTTGGGGATAATTTTAGCTAGGGGTAATGGCTCTCCCAGCCGGTTTATTTTTTGTAAAACAAAACGATATTTATGGGTACATCCATTAAAATTCCAAATATTTATGCTCAAAAAAGGGTGGAGGCAAATTTCTGTCAAAACAATTAACAAAGCAAAGCAAGTTGACCCCACCCCAAGGAAAGGGTATGCTGCATGCATGCAGGAAATTTTGTAATACCTTAATATATAATTAGCAATATGCGTGACCGTATAAACGATCACGGGTAGAAAGACACTTGCACATTGTATCGAAAAGTAAGGCTTATTATGACACTTGCAGATAATCTACGCTTAGCCGATATTAGATTAATGAGAGTCGCAACATTGCCGCGCCAAGAGGAAGCTCATGCTTGCCATCATCCTGCTTTAACCACCTTATTATAATTAATAATAATAATTAAAACTTTACTAAAGGAATAAAATTGCACTGGAGTGAAATTCTTTACGTTTAAAAGTATTGTAACTCTATTAAAGAAAAATATTTATATGGTAACAGGCTAATTTAAATACGCTATTTGTCTCCTGGATGCATGCATGAAATATTACAACAAGTTATAACGATTATATAAAATTGTTAAAATATTGACTATAATTTACTGCATTACATCAATAACGCTGGAAAGAAACTGCGTTTAAATCGGTCCGTACTGCTACAGTTAAAATTAGAAAAACTATCAGAGTTGCGGAGTGATGTACCATGTGATGGACCAAACCAGTCTGGAAATTATAGTGCATTACAAACAATATTGCCCTACTGTGATACTTACTGTAAAGTGTAAGCGGCATTAAGCACATAATATTTGGCATGTAGGCTGTAGCATAATTTGGAGCAATACTAGCTTATGCTGTAACAATTATGAATATTATTCAGTCTTACAAATTAACTGCATTCATGTTTTTATAACTTTACTCCATGGATGTAATTTCCTATTATTGCCCGTTATTCCGACACACATGTTTTTCTATTATTGCCCGTTATTTCGAACACATGCAAGGCTCGGTAAACATTTGCGTACTTTTCGCGTATTACTTTTGGGTTCAGTTGATATGTCATTATTCCGGGGGCTGTGTCAATTGACCCACCTCCCCGTTTTCACTTCCGATTATTTTGACAAACGTGCGAAAAATCCTAGATCCCCCCTGCGCACATGCGGTGATCCCGTATATATTTATTTTCAGATCGCACTGTAGGCGGCGAACAAATGAGGAGGCTAAAACTTTGGGGGATACCATTTTGTAGAAGTCACCTGGAAGACGTAAAAAAGTGAGGAGCGATGGTGAGCTAAACTTAGCGATGAATCATATTACTTTTTAAACATATATGCATGTAGCATGGATAATTCAGATAATGTAAGTTAGTGTTTATGTAGTATTATTATATTAGCTAGCAATTATTTTCATTGCGATTTTTTCTGCTCATACGCCTGTTTTGATGAAATTTTAAAAACGTAGGGTTTCGCAGAGGTTATTATTTCTAATTGATTATGATTATTATTAAAATACTTGAATGGCAGTTCAAAAACGAACTGAAAAACACAAGTTTACAAGTATCAGAAATAAGACTATTTACATATTTACAGTGATAAAATACTCAGAAATACAATTACTAACATGTTAATACCATAATTACAAAAAGATATGCTAACATTAGGTTCTAAAATATTAAAATATTAAAATGAGTTCCATTTACGTATGCAATACGGCAAAAAGCTATCATTATAGCGTTTCGTTCGACATTTAAAAAGAGAGATCGATCGAGGATGTCTGAGATCGTACTCATGGGTTAAAAGTTTGGGTAATAGACTAGAAATTTTACCCGAAGGGTCATTATAATTATTTTTATAAAAGGTTCTGCATAACCGTTCCCTTCTCGCTTCTAAGGTAGGTAAATTCAGGTCTTTAAGGCTTTCGCTGTAGGACAAATGGGGAAAAATAATTTTGAACGCACGTTGCTGAATATGTTCCAATTCAACGGTGAGGAAATTAGGTAGTGAGGTATGCCAAACTGGACATGCATATTCCAGGACAGGTCTGATGAAACTACAATATACCGCCTTAAGATCACTAGGTTGGACACCATTTCTTCTTAATAGCCTTAAGGCATACAGGCGTTTGCTTGCTTTAGAGGATATGTGCCTGATGTGTGTGGTCCACTTGAGATCGGAGGTTAAATTTACTCCCAGGAGTTTGATAGAGTTCACAGCCTCCAGAGGTAGGTTATTGACAAGCAAGGGTTGCCGGGGGTTGATTGATCAAGAAGGACACGGTGAAATCTTTAGTTTTTTTTACGTTTAATTTCATGTTGTTCACATTCGACCACTGAGACACCTTGTCGAGTTCTTGCTGTAATTTTGGAAAATCCGGTTCACATACTCTAACAACTTCAGAAATAGCACAATCATCAACGTACTTGTACAGTGGTAGTTCACTGGATAGATCATTGACCATTATAAGAAAGAACAAAGGGCCCAATTTTGTGCCTTGCGGAACTCCAGCATTGATTTCTTTCCAATCAGATTTACAAGATTTTAATTTAACGCGCTGTTGTCTGCCTTGAAGGAAACTTGAACACCAGTTTAATAACACGGGTGGAACGTTGAGGAGTTGTAATTTGCGCATTAGAATGTTATGGTCAATTCGATCAAACGCTTTGGAAAAATCAATAAAGCAGGATCGAATAATGGTATTAGGTGTTTCCAGGGCCGAAAGCCAATGGTGGATTAGGTGCACGAGGGCGTGAGTCGTTGAGGACTTTTTCACACAGCCAAACTGGAGGGGATCAATGAAAGGCATAACAATGGGTGCAAGCCAATTGAACACAAAAGACTCAAGGATCTTGCTCAGTACTGCCGTGAGGGATATAGGTCTAAGGTCCGTATCAATAGATTTCGGTGTAGGGATCTTGCTTAAAGGGAGAACATCCGCGCATTTCCACAGATCAGGTACACGACCTTCTCAAATGGAAGAGTTAAACATGGAGCATACAGGGTAGCTAATATTTGCGGCACATGTTTTCAGGATCCAATTGGGGATCTCATCAGGTCCTACAGACTTACGATCGTTAACACCTGCCAATGCAAGTTCAACAGCATCACGCGTAATGACGTATCTATCAGGAACATTGGAAACGGGTACTGGAGTGAAATTTAAATGCGGTATATCAGCAGCAGTACTGCAGAAGGATTCATTAATGACGGTGGCAAGTTCAAAGTCTCTCAAGACGGTGCCGTTTATGGCTAGACTATTAAACGGAGGGGGGTTGGACATTCCTGACAACTGCTTGATACCGTCCCACCACTTTTTAGGATTGCTCTGGTTCATGTGATTGATTTTGTCGTAGACTGGAACAGACTGGAACAAATCCAGTTGATCGTCACATGAATTTCGCCTCATGAGCGGTGTCCAATTGACCGAGTCCAGGCAGGATTTCGTTTGTTGGAAACACGATAATCACGCTTTTGGAGTCGTGTGGTGGGTAGGCTTGGAGCATGTGGTGAAGTAGGTTGAAGTAATATGCTAGAATGATCAGATTGGCCAATAGGTGGCAGGATGGTAGCATCGTAGTAAGCCGATAAAGTTGAAAATGCTTGATCAAGGATATTACTTCCCCTGGTAGGCTTGGTGACCAGAGTTTTCAATCTAAAGGAATTGCACAGATTTCCTGGCTTAAATTGGTTAAAATCTCCGAGAACCAGGACAGCGGAATTAGGATAGTTGGCCAGTGAGGAATCTAAACATTTGAAGATATGCGTTCGAAGCACGTGGTCATCGCTTTGGGGGGGGTGATAAACTGTTCCCAGGATAATGGAGTTTATTCCTCGGGGTAATCGATCCATTTTGATTAAAAACCATTGACTCTCAATTTCAGGATCGCCTAAGTCAGTTAATTCGGTAAAGTTAAGGTTTGAGTTAAAATAGGAACAAAGACCACCACCGCGCTGGTTATTCATTCTATCACGTCGGCAAGATACATAACCAGGAATACGTATAGACTCGTTAGTTATTTGTGGATTTAACCATGTTTCAGTAATTACGGCAACGTCACACAGTTCGATAGAAATTGATGCAGAAACTTCGTCTAACTTGTTGACCATCGACCTAACATTACTAAACCAAATCTTGGGAAAGCGTGGGATCGTAACAGGAGTCTTCAATGGGATTAATAATCTAAAATTGGGAACCCAGATGCGCTCCCGCCGTTTGTTTTTTCTGTAAGTAATCCTAGTAGGTATTCTCATTTCTGCTGGCTGATATTGTTCCGTGTTACTCGATGAACATAGTGGAGGTATTCCTTCCACGACTTCATTTGTTCTATGGGGTCTATTTGAAGACTCGAGTTGAACTTTATCAGGGGCTTTATAAGCGTTGGCGGCTGCCAGAACTGGACCCTTGTTGGATTCGGAGGCGGCCTTGGACGGTAGTTTCTCCTTGGACGGTGGTTTCTCCTGGACGCTTTTAATAAAAAATTTTGATCACGATTTCTGACTAGGTGTCGATGGGTTATAGGGGGGTGATATGCGTCTTGAATTCCAGGTATAGAGCTGCAGTGCCTGGGTCTTGCAGGGAAAGGCTTCTTGCACAATTCGCTTTCGCAGTCTTGCTTTTGATGGAATGCTTTGTGTTGTTTAGCACGGTAATGATGAACCTGTTGCCTTAGAGAGTCATTTACATTTTGTTGATTTCCATTTAGATTATCTAGATTTGGACTAAGACACCGGTGGCTTTTATTTGCATTTGGGAGATGACCGGCAGTTGGATCTTTTAGTTGGATCTTTCTGACTAGATGTCGATCAGTTATAGAGGGGTGATTTGAGGCTTGAATTCTAGGTATAGAGCCACAACGCCTAGGTCTTGCAGGGAAGACGTGTTCCAAGAAAACGCAACTGGAAATCAAAATAACGGAGATAGGTAGTGACAGGTGATATCTACTAAATTTTATAATGAAAATGTTTACAATTCTATACATTTTTACGCGAATTTTTTTCCATAACTGACTAACGGAATAATTGTATATACAAATTTTAATACACCCCGCATGCATTTATCGACTGTACGGTTTACGCTAAAGAATTATTGAGGGAGGGATGGAGCGTTTTTGTAGCAGGACGTCATTCACAGTACCACGAAAATACAAGATTGATGCAGAGGCAATGAAAGCTAAAGCGCCGTTTACACTACACTCGATTTATTGGCACGGCACGGCTTTAATGGGTATCCGTACCCATCTCATCTGTGTTCGGCCTTTATTTTGGTCTATTGAACAGTATTGTCACTAATAAATTGGGTACGGGTGCCCATTTTAGCCGTGCCGTGGTGATAAATTGAGTGTAGTGTAAACGGGGCTTAAGACGAAAGTAGAAATTTTTGTGACGTGCCAAAGTTAAGACAATTCTTTTTTTCTTTGATAAATATAGGCATGAAATTTACTCTTCTATACTTGCATGTCTTCAGACGAAAATGTTTTCTGGTCAGTCTTATCCTGTCGAACCGTTTCCTCGTTGAATATCAGCTTAGATTTACCAGCATTTGAAACGGACAATCTTTGTCTAGGAAGACGGTCATGACAAATTTTCCCCGAGTCGAAACAAACTAAACTTGCCCGAGGAAAAAAGAATGGTCGTCTGCGCGGGTGCACTACAAACATAAAAGAAACTGCTCGTCGCTTTGTTGTGACCAAATAAAAGACGTGAAAGAGCGTTGTAGCACAAACGAACAGATATTAATAAGCGATTTCTGTGTTAAAAATTAAAGTACTTACCGTGCATGCATACTTCAGAGGTGATAACATCGGTTATTTGACGCATGCATTGATAACTCTGACGTATACCGCCTTTTAAATCTCGACTGTAAATCTTAGCGTTATTTTCCCACCCCCGCATTCAAAAGACTTCTTAAGCAAACTTTATGCTGTAATCTTTTGTGACAAGTGAAAATTAATAGAATTCAAAACTGAAATATTTTTTATCATTCGTAGTTGACTACACCGCCAGCTAGCCAAGATTTTTCAATTTGGTTTAGGAAGCAATTATTGCAATTTATACCCCACTGCTTAATGATAATTATGCACTGTAAATGAACTTTATAATATACGAGTTGTCCATTTATGTATGAATAAGTTACACACATTAAAGCTACAGCCTAGTATAGCATTATAGACTGAAATTTCGATGTTTTTGCGTGAAATTATTGCAATTGCTGCAATGCCAAAGGAGATGTGTCATTGTGTTCATTTTATATTATGTAATTACACGCCTCTGCTAACTCTCTAATTGCTGTTATTAAGATCTCGACAGTATCTTCGACTTCGGAATAATTATTTATGTTGTACTTAATCTCATATGAGCTGCAATAATTTTGTAAATGTATCATTAATTTTGTAAAGTATCTTCCCACACAATTATACTAATTGCTATAGCTAAGTCAAGCTCTTCATGAATTTCTAACTGGGTACTTTACACATTATACGTTTTTATGTTTTTTCTCTTCAGAAATCGCATGTAAAATCCTGCGAAGAGGAAACGTTTGGTTTAAATAATTATTGAACGGCCAGTGAAATATCCCACGGGCAAATTCGCGTAGGCCACTATTTAGTATAAGTGAAATATATTATATACTTTTAAGGCACAGCCCCGTGGAGTTGTAGGCACAACAGACCTCTCCTTATTTACCTGTCACGGATTCGTTTCATAAAAATAATAAATTCATCAATCATGAAATACAATAATTATATATTGCTGAAGTATGGATTGAAGCACGAGCATATATGATCTCTTAATATATGCCTAGTTTTGTGCCTATATTTTTGGAACTATATACTTAGTAAAAATAAGAGGATTGAACAGCACAATCTACTAAGGAATATAATTTCGATACAGTAATTAGATGTCTGTATATACCCGTATATATATAAAATTATATAGCATTAATTGGTCTTAGTGGGATTGCTGCCTATGTATACATTGTAACTCACCAGACATTGAATTGGATCCAACAAAATTAGATCGTGTGAACACCTTTAAGCAACTTAAAATTACGTCGTGACTATGTGAATCCGGTATAGCGTAAATGGGATCTAAAACGTCACGAAATACCATTCATAGAGTATTAGCCGGAAAGATTATTTTGAACTTATTAGTAATGATCTGAATTGCTAGCATGTCAGTCAATATAGTATTTATTGACCTGATCTGAACTTTTAGCCAGGCTTACTTAACTTTAACACGAATAATCAATATCTATTATTTGGGGTTAAGTCAGAAAGAGTACTTTAAAGATATTAGTAATGTACAGCATGTCAGTCAGCCAATTTTTTAGACAGGCTTACAGAACACGATGTATCGATACCTATTATTCCCCCGGCTTAATTTTGCAATGTTAACGCACTACAATTGCCGGTCTGTATGCTATATTATACCACAGTTATACATCGCTGAAATTCATGACGTTTGTCAACTGATAATAATCGGGAATCGGCGACCTATAATGACCGTTTAAATGGCTAGGCTGCTAGCTCTAACTTCTCTTAGTCTTTCCCAGGATTCTCGCGTATATATAGAAAAGCGGAAATCGGAATTAATAGCCAGCCTAGAATGAGACAGTGCCCAGGAGTTGATTAGAAAACTCCATATACCCGATGAATCATGCATGCCAACGAGCTCTTATGACCAGCTTCTAAAATCCATCGTGTCATCCAAGGAGAATATTATTGTTTCTAGGGTCAACATTACATAGCCAGCTATTTTTGTTCAGCCCCCGCATGATTAAGGAAGGGCACGTCTGCAGGAATAAACAATATGTAGACGTCATTACATGTCGTATGACGTCATTGACGGCAGTACAAATAAATCATAATCGTCGAGGGACGCGTCATTTGAACACTTTAGTGTAAGTCATTGGACGAACTGTACGGGATATAGGGGATATGACTGAGATAGAGCTCGGCCGAACGAACGCCGTAGTGCCCCAAGAAACGACAAATGGTGCTGTTATTGATATAGACGATGGAGATGGTAAAGATTTGAGAGATGATACGATAGACCAGCTCGACGAAAGTGAAGAAAAGAATAAAAGCTCAGATAGCAGCGTACAAGGCGATACAGAAGATGAAGACGACGAGAATGCACCTTTAGGCTACTGCCGTTTTGTTGTGAAGCATCATCGCTTGACCTTTGGTATGTTTACCTATTCTAATCATATTAATCCGTGAAATATTATAGCGCTGAGTAGCTCACAGCCAAGTGGATATGTGTGTGAGTAAGCTCAACAATAACACAGCAGGTTGGCTATATAATGTTGTCCTGAATAATTGATTTGCAAAATGCTAAGTATGTTATGCTTGTCTTTAGCACAACCAAATTTCAACGAAATAACTTGTATTACTATGTATAATAATTATGTATGGTATGGCAGAAATTCAGTAAAAAATTCAAGCCGAAAACCGGGATCCGATACGTGAAACTTAGCCAGTTTTTTAGCATCGGCCATCGGGTATATGATATCATAAGATTAAAGATAATAGCAGGCAGCCGGGGGCAATTCATTTACTTAATTTACCTATAAAAGATATCTTTCTCTGCCTTTTCAAAGTAGCTGATTTTAAGTGTAAAATCGTACTCCTTTCTGGAGTATACTTGTATACAAATAGTTATACACACAAGTATAAACCTTCGTTCTTAAAGACAACGGAAACTAACTCCTCAATGAAATTATGCTCAATGGCAGTGCCAGCGAACGATCAATATTTTATGTCGAATATATATAGTATTGATCCGTTTGCGTCATGCAGTACATAAAAACCCTTTACGCATGGCCAGAAAATTCGGACATATTTAACATTCTACTTCCGCCTAAATTTGCATATGGTGTCAAAATAAAGCTTCGTGAGTTTATAGTAAACTGTAATGTGCACAGTACTAAACGCTAAAAATACACCTTTAGGTAGGTCAATTATAATTTGCCTTAATTGCTCGTTGCAGAGCAAGTTAATCTTAATATTTTTATACAGTATTTCAAAATGTTTTATCAGTATTCGTCCTGCATTTTCAAAACAAAGTTTTGGTCATTTATCACGTTGAATACCATATAAAACGAAAACCGTAATAGCGTAGAAATAAAATAAAAATGCAGAGCCGACATAAACCTTTGCCAGCAAAATATTACCTCAGGATCTTCAATATGACACGAGTTACAAGAAACAACCAGGGCAAATAGCAAAGATGAAATGATTTTCTTAAATTTTGCAAAATTTAAGAATGCGCAATATAATTTATAGTTCTGCAAACGAATAATATTTGAACAGATATGCAAATTTGCTACGGCAATCTGCATATTCCATGTCCGCAATTTCTGGCCATGGTATATGTGTATGTAGCTACTGATATGCACAATATTCAGCGTTTTGCCTCCCTGTTTGTGCGGAATTCGAGGCTAGTTTTATTTCTCTTGAGAGCGAAAATTGTATTCGAGATAATTATATGTTAACGACCTTTGCTGTTATTTGAACAATGAAGATAATTGCGAGAAAACTCCAGCGCAAAAGGCCCTGTAAAGTAAAAGCCCTGTTACACGGTGCAATTTTTCCTCCAACTTGCAAATTTGGCAAGATGTAAATTTGGCAACAAAGAAACCTTTATGCTATTAAACTCCATATACGCTTTTTACACTTACATTTTAAATACTCTGAACTATAATCTACATCTCTTAACGGTAGAGTTGCATTGCAAGTTGCATGAAAAATTGCACCGTGTAACAGGGCCTTAAGGAATCTCCATGGTAAACCCTACTCAGTGAATGCGTGCTTCGGTTTGTCAGTTTATCTCTTTATTTTGTTGCTGGTTTTGTTGTACTGTATATACGTCCCATATGAAATCACCTGCGGTTGGCATAATGAGCAAGCATAATAATAGCATTAACGTTCAGAATATTATCCGATCGTTTATAACGCATCGGTAGCTGAATATAGGATTAGTGAAATATTGAAGCAGGCAGTGAAAGTTTTTGCTGCAGGCTATATTTACAGTTCATTTAATCCCTTAGCTTGGCAAGCATTGCATGTATACAACACAATTGATGCATTGTGAAATAATCGCATCAAAGGATGATAGCTTGTCTCAAATGTTAAAAGCATTGTCACGTTCTCAAACTTTCAACTTATGAAACGTATAGCTTGTGGAACAATGACAGTGCACGAATAAGACCAATAGGATAAATGAGAGGCAGATCGAGTTTAAGTGGGCGCCACCCTATATTGTGCCTCTTTAAATGTACCAAGGACGGATATCCGTGCAGTGAGAGTTCCGATGTACGTCACTGCCTAACTGGCACGTTTGCCAGAGGAAAATCCTTTTCATTTTACATCTAAATGTTTAGTTTACTGTTTGATATATTCTTTTAAGCTCTACAAGCCGGGTGAAACGCTAGGTCAACCACTGCATGCATTTACATCAGTACATACGCAGAAACATTAACCCTGTTCAGGCTGCCAATTAAAAAGCCGAGCACGAATAAAATCGGTTCGGGTACCCATTTGTCAGGTTGTGTCGATAAATTGAATGTAGCGTGAACGGGGCTAATATGTTGAATGAAACTTTAGAGAAATTGTTAAAAAGGCACAAAAATGCGTAACATGCAACACGTAGTCTGTGAGAAATTGACTAATCCTGCTATTATTGCCGAAACCCTTCAGCTTGAATGGGCAATTCTACCCTGCCAATTATCGATGGTACTCCCCCCCCCAACTTTACGTCACTCCCAAAACACCCGCCCACACTTGTTGAATTGCCATCATTCACGTTTGACGTGGATTAGTTAGGATCAGTAAAAGTTTCATTAATTTGAGTTTTGCTGCGGGGCGAAAAATCAGTACAAAGCATCGTGAAGTTCTTTTTTAATAATGATGTATATCACATGTAAGATGTTTGGTTTAATTTTCACAGGCAAATGTTTGGGCGCGTCAATATCTGAAACCTGTACCAATTATTTCCCCAAGTAGGCCAATCACAAAGCATTACTTAACAGTTATTAACATGAGTACTCTTATTTTTTTTCAATAGGAATAACATTGGGCGCACACTTATTTATGATCCTTGTCACACTAATACTTCTCCTCTCAGGATATGAAGTCATACCAATCAATTTCTCCTCCCTTCCACTTGATTTGAAAGACGATTCCACTAAACTTCGAACCGACGCTTGGCTTCACGTCAAAGATGATGATGCTGTCATCAAACTTAATGGTGATCAGAGAATGCGTGGTGTTGAATATCAAGTAATGGTCTTCTACTACGAGAAAAAAGGCGGGAATGTTTTTTCCAAGGAAAATTTACTCGATCTGCAAAAATTTGAAAACAGCCTTTTCATGGACGCTGACTATCAAAGAAAACTTTGTCAATTGGTGTATACGGACAACACAACGAGTTCCACGGTAGGAAACGAAACATATGCGAAGTGCAAAAAACCTTTATCGATCTTGCGGTTCTTTGATGGCTCCTATAAACGAATGAGCGCCGATTTCGACGATCCAACATTTTCAAACATTCCTAAAGTTCTTCATACCGCGAAATCAATGAACGCAAGTAGGGCAATTTTGAACTTTCACCTTGGAAAAGATTCTGTCGTTACAAAGGACAGTGCAGAGTCTGACGTTACTCGAACCTTGTTTTACACGGGCTGGCCAATTGAAGGATACAACAGCACCGATGAACGGAAGGACGATCAGAAAAAAGAAATCGACAAACTAATCATCGATATATTCGAAAAGAAAATGGAAGACACTTTCAAAGATGGTGTAGCTGGTATGGACTTCGTATACAATAACATCGCTTTGTTTGTAGAAGCCACCATTAAACAAGTTATTCTTGATATGATGTTGGCCGTAGCGAGTTTCATTTTCATCTTCCTTTTTATGTGGTTCCAAACTGGTTCCTTTTGGATCACTTCGTTTGGCATATTCAGCGTTATTTCAAGCTTCAATATCGCAAATCTTATATACAGAGTGGTATTTGATTATCGATACTTTGGAATATTCCACGTTCTTTCCATATTCATCATCCTTGGAATCGGCTCAGACAACATATTCGTGTTCATGGACTCTTGGAAACAATCACACAAAGGCACTTATAAAAATCTTGCCATGCGTTTAAATACAGTATACAAAAGGGCTGCCAAGGCAACTTTGATCACCTCGTTCACCACGATGATGGCTTTCTTTTCAAACATTCAATCCCCGTTGCTGGCAATTTATTCATTTGGACTCTTTTCAGGAATTCTTATAATCGTGAACTATTTGTCAGTTATTCTCTTCTTCCCAACCGTCATATTGACGCATCATCGCGATCGTGATGGCAATTGTTGCTGTTGGCCAATGTGCAAAAGAAAAACGAATACGAGCCAAAGCTCGACCGACAACTTGCATGAAAACAAACCAAGTGAATCAATTACACAGAAAATCAGTAACTTCTTCGAAGGACCGTTTTTCAAATATGTTATTACACACAGAATAACTCGTTGGGTCGTGATTGCTTGTTTCCTTGTTTTGATTATCGTGTCCATTACATTTGCAACACAAGTAAAGCCCTCTACTGAACAGGTGAGATGCAAATACGTATTTTATTCCTATTATTAGTGTTTGCTTCTTTAGCTCATTTGGAATCGTTGTCAAAGATTATTACGAGAAATACAAATGCATGTTTTTTCTCTAATGAAAAAATAATTGGGTTCAAAAACTATTTATCCTCCGATGCAATACTATATTTCAGAAATTTGTAAGTTAATGGTCGTCGCTCTCTAATCTTAGCGACTTCGCAAGTTAATTGTGAGCGTGCATCTTATTTCATATCATAACATTGTCCACTTGCACTTTTGTCGTTTTTTATGAATTAGTGACCATGATGGATTTCCTCAAATTAAAATTGGGAGTCATTCTTCTTCAATCAAAAGTATTAATAATGTAATTTATTCGTTTTTCCTATAACATTATTGTAGATTAATGTTTGGTCAGATGACACAAACTGGGGTCGAGGAAGAACACTATCGAAAGAGTCATTTCTTCCAAGCCAGGAAGATAAAGTGATTGTCGTACATGTTGTTTGGGGTTTACAAGATCAGGATCGTAGTGAATGCCATCAAACTGACTTTGAATGTAAAGGGAAAACTGTGTTTGATAAAAGCTTTGATATGAATCCTCCGCCTTGTCAAAATGCTATTCTGGTAATTACTTTAAACTTGCCTTTGACAGTCACTCTGAGATTCCATAATTTTATGAGCTACGTCATCGTGTAATTCTACCTTTTGAGCGCCTTTTACCATTTTTTGGTGACAAAGAAAAGAGTCAAACACTATAATTACTGTATATGCATCTTTCTCATGGAGATTTTTGTGCTTCTTTTTCTAGGATTTATGTAACAAGTTCAAAAATCTGCCTCCTGAGCAAGAGGAAAAATTAAGACTGCGGAGGAGTCAAGTAACTGGGGAAATTGAGATTGAATGCATTTTTGAGCGAATGGACGAATATTTAACGGTTAGTGTTCGTTTATGATGACCTATAATTATTATATCACACTATTTTTATTTTGCTTTTACATCCTTTACCTGAACTATTGCCATCATTTCCAGGCGTAATAATTAACGACAAATCAAGACTGATTTTTTTCTTAAAAAACGACATTCTCGTCACATGGGTAATAGTACATGTATTTCTTCCCCCAATCGAATAAATCAAATCGTTTTTTTGTGACGATATCTTCTAAACACGCAGAAGCTGTGAATTGCTTTGAATGTCAGTGAGAAAGATTGTTGCGTACGGCCGCCACCATAGCAACAGCGAATTCACACGAATTATTTTTTGTTGGGTACTCAAACCAGAACTTCATGTACGGGCAAAGAAATACACATAATTTCGGTATAACAAACCTCAGTTGGATAGAATAAGGAATTTTCAATAGAAAGTAATATTTCAAATTTTTTCTATTCAGGTCGAGGCCAACAAGACAAAGTATCCAAATGGATCTGATTTTGGTTTCCCTCTAAATTCGGCGAAAATGAGAACTTTAATGGAAGCTAACGAGCCGCGTTTGTTTAATGTCTCGCTTCCTGATACCTATTACCGATTCTTTGAAGTTGGTCTGGGTTATTTTATAACTGATGGAGGTTCTCGTGATTTTGCTAAAACCTATGATTATGATAAATATCAGGACACCTTCGGAGGACAAATCGATCCTAGCTCTATCAAAAATGATGCAAGTATCCAAGGTAATGATTATGGCACATTTGTAAATTGTTAAATTATAAGTAATTTCCCGAGGGTTCTCAGAAGGAATATCTCATAAATTATCTTTCACGTTGTAAACAAGATGTTCTTTTGCTGTGTGCACTAGAGCGTCGTTTTTGAGCGCTTTCAAAATCCTTTTGTCTATAGTCTTGTTTAGTACACACGTGTTATATGCCTAATAAATTATGTTAGATTAGCTTTGACTTTTATTGTAAATTGACCGTTATTGAGACCATTTTGGCATGAAAACAAATGTGAAAACGCTACTGTGTGTGCATAGCCTTATTAGTTCATTATATGTTCTTATTTTATTCTTTATTATTTCATTATGTTCTGATGTTCTTCATCATCTCTTTTCAGGGAACAAGTTTGGCAATCGGCTTTTGTATGTGGCCATTTCTTTAAATACGTCATTAAATCCCTTAACACTGGGGTATGAGGAAGGTTTACCAATCCACGATAACTGGGAAGAATTTATCAAGAAAGAAGTAAGTGAAGATTTCTGATAGCGTTTTTAAAAAGCTGTCTTAAATAAATGTTTAAATGTAATAAGAGCCTGTTTGTATTTCATCGTATTTTATTCACGTGTATGTTGCGTGGATAAAAAATCCACTGAAGACAGCATTTTACGATTTTTGCATTTAAAAAATATGGAATATGAGACAGTATGATGATAGTCCATGCAATACACACAATATGACTAAAATTTTTAATTCTATGAAGCAGAGAAAATCTATGTTCTAGCATTAGGAGTCTCGTATTAACATAACGATTTCGTTTATTTTAGATGAGTGCCATGCCTTCTTCATGTAACAATGGTTTTCAGGCAACTGTATCAGAAAGCAACGAGTGGCAATGGCTTAAGGTCCAAAAGGTAAGCTACATAGACTACCGTATATACTTCGTAAAAATAGCAATATAATAATACAGTTTTCAGTGAAAAATTATTATAGCTACAGAGGTAAGGAAAATAATTTAGGCTAACCATCAAAATTTAACAACCAGGCAATTTCACCTGGTTTTGTTCATCGATATTTGCGACGTACTAAATATAGAGGATGCTTTCTAATTATTGACCTAGATTTAAGGTGTTCCAAAAACATGCAGCCTCTGAATCAGAAATGTTTGATAAAAATTGTACTAAATAAGATAACACCGTTTTCAGATTCTCGTCGATAGCGCAATCTCAGGAATAGCTATTGGTTTAGCTCTTGCCATTATCGTGCTAACGCTTGCCACAACGAATGTAATCGTCGGTATTATGGCAACCTTAACCATTGCCATGGTAACATGCGGTGTTCTGGGATTAATCCCCATACTTGGATGGAATCTTGGAGTATTTGAATCTCTGAATCTAACTCTTGTTGTCGGTCTAGCGGTGGACTACGTTGTACACTTGGCTGATGGATATATGGAGCTCGAGTATGAAGACAGAGTTTCTAGGGTGAAGTATACATTGGGTCATGTCGGTGTTTCCGTCTTTTCTGGTGCTTGTACAACACTGGGATCCTCCATTTTCATGTTAGCCGCGAAAATTATCTTCTTTCAGCAGTTCGGTATCTTCATCTTCTGCACAATCGGTCTGTCTATTCTATACTCCCTCATTTTATTTACCACAATTCTGGCCTTGATTGGTCCCGAGGGTGAAGTGGGCTCGCTTAGACCACTGTGGAGGATGTCAAAGGATTACATACGTGGTAAAACCAAGGACCATACTGACTGCAAAACTTGCAAAGGAAAAGGATTCCACAAAGTCGATTTAAGTGAACAAAATACTTTACTCTAACTTTAGGCTAACTATTAGAATAAACGTTTTAAGGACAAAATGGAGTAAAAATTATACCCAAGATAACTGATCAGTGCAGGAGTAGCACACCTTTGCAATCATGTATGTTAAAACATATATGTATATTATGGACTATAAAGTTTATTAATAAGTTGCCCGGTTGCATGCCTCCAATCTGTTGCATTAAAAAACAAGTCATCTACTTGTAACAATTTATTTATGTTTATATTTATGTAAATATTGAATTATAGTATAGATTATGTTTACCTAGATGACAATTAGCAATTTAAAATTTTGTGCATGGACACATCCTGAAACTGGAATGCATAACCATGCAATTCAGGAATAATTATCGCTCATAAATGTACAATATCAAATTTTAGGAGCGTACTACACATGTACATGCTTTATTACATGAGAATATATTATTAGACTCAATGTTTGTGCACATGTAAAAATGCTTGTTCTCGCAGTTCATAAAGGAGGGAAAATGAAGGGCATTCCTAGCATTGCTGTATTTACAATATTATAGACCTTGCCCCAGACTGCGAATCTTGATTTGGTTGTAGCCTCTTTGCTACTGCGACGGTTTTAAACTTGCGCGTTGCTGATGGATGGTAATATCTTGAAACATATTTAATGCCCCGGTCTGACAAACAGCTAACCACGCATCTAAAAGTTGATTAAAAATTCACAGCGGCGCTTCGGCTGAGCATAATTATAAATATTTCCCACAATTATCCGAATTTAAAGTAAGAGGCGAATCGTGTATTTAAAAGAGGTGCATATGAAAAGAGAACTCCAACGCTTCTCTTTTTCTTCAAATGATATGTCGACACAGAAAATACATAGAAAAGAAATCAGCAATGAACTAGATTACAGGAAAATCCATTCTTATATAATTGAACTTGATGATTACAGACAACCCAACTTACACCGAGTGCGCTTCACGTGATTGTAAAATGTTTCAGTCTGTCCAGTTGAGGAAAATGACCTATCGACTAGATTGGCTGGTGTGACATCATATATCATTTCGTTTTAACTAAAACATGCAGAACCGTTGCGTTGCATGGTTATCGTGCGCACTAATCTCTTCACGTATAGCATCACGGCAGCCACTAGCTTTCATTTAAAATGTAATAGCATCTTATAGGGTATGTAGATTGTAGCATGACTATGATGAGGAACTTGGCTGCCCATAATTAACATCAATACAACCGTTTCATGAAATGGAAAGCTCTCCTTTGCAATGTTTCGATGCATGTACAATGAATTTTATCATTCATAGAAAGTGTTTCTATAAATAATTATAGATAAACAGAAATGAAAGTCATCCAATTAATATAATTTATTTTACCCGAAGTCTGCTAAAAAAGCTGAAGGATATTAGCCTAAAAATATGGAAAAAAATTGTCTGAAAAAATTATGTCGTGCATGGTCTTATATTAATTATTCCACACGGACATTGATGTATTGTGAAAGCTGATATATATTTTTGCCCCATCAGGCTATTATTAAATGATCTACAAGTTTAATATTATACACGACAGGAGGATCTATAGCTATGATTTATTTATTTTCATTATTATCCCGATTTAGATGAAAAAAATATAGCTCATTGAAGTTCTTAATAATTAAGTTATGATATAAATTATGATTATATCACGATAATTTATAGTGCTATATATATTATAGACGGTATGATGATACACCGCAAGCTATCCTAACTGAGAATCTGAAAGATGCTTCGCGCCGAAGATAAAGGGATAATAATTCCTACTGTAAAATAAAAGCGTTTACTTTTAGCAAAAAATGCCGGGATATTAACGTGAAGCGATGAAAAAAATAATCTATTTGCTTTGAACTTTTCTTGGCAGCCATGATAAAGTCTTTTGTCTTTGAGACAGCTGATAAGTGGCAACAAAGGACTAACCTAAGTGGTTTAAAAAATAGGGCAATATCCTTCTTTGAAGTCTTATAAACTTTAATAGCCTAGGAAACCGGATTAAAGCACTTATGAATCATTGCTAAAGGCAACTTGTTCAAAACATAGCAAAGAAGCGCGTATTAGCTCAGATTTAAAAGCGGTTTACAAATAACTAATCTAAAGCAAATAAAGTGATCAAAAGACATTTAGGATATATTACTATCCGTCATTTATAATTGATACGTGATATAAATGAATGGTATTTTGTTTCGTTCTGATAATTAAATTTTTATGGACAAATAATGGCGTCAATGAAACATGCAACAGATAGCTACATGCGTTGAATCAATCAGTGGTTAAAAGTGTGAATAAAACAGTGGAATTTTGGAAATAAAAGGTATTAATATCTAATCTTCACGTAATATTTGACAGTCCAAGTTCTATAATCCTCTCAGTTGTGAGAGGAACACATTAGGAAATGTATACACATAGCTCTATTTGTATACAGAAATTAAGCAGACGTTTGAATCGAAATTTTAGAAAACCTATACTATTTAACTCCTCGTCATACTGTTAGAATGAATAACCGGCTCTACTTGACGTTACTCGTCAATTGTGACGTTTCAATCGCATGCACGATATTAAATCTCGCATTGAGGGATTGATAGATTTTTAAATGACTTTTAAACCTTCCTCATCGGTATCATTTATCATTGTGTTCACTCAGGTTGTGCTACTGTAATAGCTATATAGCGTAGAAATAACGCTACGTATAACTGCATGCTTCTTCGGCCCAACGATCCTACAGCAAGATAATGAACGGCTCCATATGTCGGTTAAATGCTCTGCGTTAAATGAAACTATATTAATAAAGCCCCCCCCCCAACCTTTGATCATTGGGTAGAGAAGGCTGCATGGCCGTGCATGGGCAATTTCATTTCACTGTTGGACCGTATCGTTCATTGTAAACGCAACAAATATCTTAAGAATAAATCGAATGAGGAAACCGAGCCTTTATAAACCAAACTTTTTATAAAATTCCGCATAAATTGTACAGTGAAGTCACAGCGATACATCTCTTGGTTTGAGTTTATTTATTCAAAATCAAAAAAATGCAAAGGCGTAAAAATAGCGGGGGGTGGGTATCATTCTGCTGGAGGTGGGTGCTGGTTTTGTAAGCGTCTTTGAATGTGGGCGAAATTCAAGGGAATTTCACATTTTCTACGATGAAGCAAATTGAGGTAGGCCAGTACATTATTTTTTTTCTTTTATTTTGAGAAAAATATAAAAATCTTTTCATGGCATATGTAGGAATCTTCAATCACTATAGTTACCAAGACAAAACAAACCCAATGGTGGAAAATAGACGATTTTTGTGAACACGATAACAAACTAGGTTTTAACGCTAGAAGGACAGAATAATACAATATAATTATAAAACGTCTACGATCAAACTAAAATAAACGGTCGCTATTTTACTTAGACTGTTCAATCTAAGAATACCACTGGAATACAACTATTTCAGGTTCACGTCCGAGCCAATTGTCGTTAAAGTCAACCATGAAAGTTTTATCAAATTAGCTTTATTACTTTTTAGTTATCTTGAACGAGATAGGGGGAATGAGAATTTTAGTTTGCTAGGTAATGCAACGAAAAAAGTTTCGCATATATTCATAAATTATAGAGAACAATACAATAGAACAATGAAACAATAGAATAAGCTAATGAACCCCTTTTGCTAGCTAAGCGTAAAACTCTAATTAGTAAAACCTTTCGCTTTATTCTGGTGTTCTTTATATATTTTTTTTGAGAAAAAATATTCAGGATCGATTACGGAAACATTAAAGTTTGGAGCCCTAGAAACTTTTAAAACAGGATAAATCATGATTTTCAATTACCTAGACCACCTTAATTGCGAGTTAAGATTCGTCCGATTTTGAAATAAAACATTCAGATTACATAAAAGGTGTTACAGGAAGTAAATATCATCGTATGTATAGTGATTTAATGCATTCCTTTCCTCAATTATAGATCCTCAATTAAGATAGTAAAAAACAACGACAGATACTACAAGAATAACATCAGAAAAGTTAAACTATCCGACCAAAACTCGAGACCCTCAGTCAGGTAACATGGCGAGAAACATGGCACTCAATCTGGATATTGTTGTATTGCTGGTGACTACTTTACCATTGGTTTTCAGCAAAGGTTGTCCATGTAAGTGATTCTATTCTTTTTAAATTAAAAAAATTATGTTACTTGTCTTTTATACAACTGTCACTAGACGATTTAGCTTGTAAGTGTAAAGTTTTAAGGCCCAAAATCTTGTCTCTTACAAACAGGATATTTTTAAAACCCGTCCCTGCACTGTTACAATAATGGCTTTGGGGATAATCGAAAAAGTGTTGTAAATACAATACATATTAATAAGGATAATTATACTTAAAATATTGTACTAATTTCATAGTAATGCTAAAACCACCTGATTCTTATTTTCTTCAAATATTTAGTTGGCATTCAACCTGTAATATTTATGCAGTTCCGTCCAACTGCAGTAGCAACGGTCGGGTCAAATATCCAGTTGTACTGTAATGCAACGACAATGGGACTTGATGACCTTGGAGGAGATCCATTTGTTCTTGGTATTTACAACAAACAGAAAAAACTAAAATCGTGTGAAACTAGAAAAAATGCCTTGGAGTGTGTATTAGACTTCCCCAACGTTAATCATGCAGATGGAAAAGCTTACTTTTGTGTAGCTAAACTAACTGCTGGATGTTCCCAGAAAAACAGAACACTGATAGTCGAAGGTAAACGCTTGATTTTGGAATTTGCAAAATTGAAAATTTGCTGCTATAATTTCGAAGATGTATAAGTCTAGCGTTTGATTCATATCGTTTTAAGTATATTATTGTAAGAATTGTAATATCTCTGCTAATGGCTTCAACTTTTATGTTATGGCCATGAAGACTGTACCAATCGGAAAGCAGATAAACTTTCCCTCTTTGCGGAATTCACTGAAAGAAATACCATCTCCTATCGCTGGAAATACACTGTCGAAAATTGCGACTTAGTATATCATGTATATTGGGCAAAGGATGGGCCAGTTTCTTTAAATTCAAGTTCGGTGAGGTTATCTTTGAACACAACATCGTTTGAACTTCGAGGTAGAGTAAGGAAACTCTTATTAGCACTCTGAATATTTATTAATATGCTGATGTCACCATTTATTGACACCATCAACAGACGAGTAAGCCCACAATAAATACGACATGTTTCGATTTTAGGAAGAGATTCCAGAACAAAATACTGGGTTGGTATGGTTATCGAAACTAGCAAAGGGCTTTCAAGAATCTACCGAGTGGATAACCCGCTTGTTCCAGGTAAATGCCTCCGTGATCGTACACTAAAATTATTTTCGTGAGGGGAAGATAAATCACTCAGTGAGAATTCGCTCGAACTCAGAAACTTCGCGGTTACCGTATTTTTTGTTGTATAAATTATTTAGTTAATAGAAAACCCTTTATGCAATGTGAATTTTTTCTATTTCTCAAACTATTATTTTACAGTTTGCACAAGTAGAAAATATGGAAGTTTCTCGATGAATGTCACGGTAACAACAAATAACACAATTTCTATCAATTGGAAATATGAGGTGGAACATTGTGACCAACGCTTCTTTGTGTATTGGTCAAATGAAGGCCCGTTATCACTGGTTGCTAAACCAAAGAGAATTATAGATGATATGAATTCGACTTCACTGGAAATCAATGGCTTAGGTAGAGATGAAATACTCATTTCCTTGTACTGTACGTATACACTACTAACTCCACTATACGAACATATTTTCTTTCGCCAAGATTATTCGATAGGTAAAATTTTTTCGTTAAACAGAGCATATATGAAAAACATGGCCATAGAGATATTAGAAAGTTTAAAGGAAATCATATTTTAATGACAGAACTATAATTATAATGTATTATAACTCTGTGGTAACACTACATGGAAACACCATAATATCCTTGCTTTGAACATGTCCGTCATCGAACATGCATAGTATAGCGCAGTTCAAAAACATATGTTGGGATTTCTGCAGTAATGCAGGATGTCCAAAAAAACTTGACTATAGTGTTGCTTTATTTTATTTATTATATTTATCTTCATTTTTGTTATATTCTCGCGATAATATATAGAGCCAAATTCTACATACTGGATTGGCATGGCTGTGAGTACGACAAAAGGGATATCCGAGATATATACTCAAAATGTTACATTAGGGATAGGTATGAGAAGTTATAATTCCATGTATTACTTAGCTATTTACTTTAGGAAACTGTAGGAATTATCCACATCCTATCTTATTACAATACAGCCCTAGTACTGTGCCAGATACTTGTGCAATACTGAAATAATAATTGAACCAGACGGATCTTTAAATTCAGGTGTGGCAGGGGACTTCGATAACGCTGATAAATCCAATCGGGAAAATGACGACATAACGACACCCGTTGTAATATTTATTGTGTTGATTGTTTGTTTGTTGGCTGTCGCTGGTATAGCGTGGATCACGGTCAGGAAAAGAAATCGAAACCTCCGGGATGCGGTATGCATTCAATATTAATTTTATTATGCTATTCATGGGCAGTTTCCATTAATTGTCTTAATTTTTAAACGCAAATGTCCTCTTTACAAGCAAGACTTGCCAGAAAAATCAGTGAAATCTACAAAGTACTATCTTTCCAATCGTTTTCTCTCAAAACTTCGAGTAAACGAGATTGCATTACTTTCATATGGCGAAGAAATTGTGTAATCTTTATTGTATAATACATTGATTCCAGTCTAGACGAGATTGGAATCGATTAAGTATATAAACTGATTAGACTTTTTGCGAGTTTATCTCCTACCAAAGGTATTTTCTTAAAACTGACGTTAGAAATGACACTTGCAACCGCTATAGCTTCTTCTACAATCTAATTATTCCGTGTAACTGCATAGTACCTGGTTAGTAAGTATTGTAATTATATAGTATTACTATAACTGAGATATTGAATAAAAAGCATCATAGGATTGCGAAGCCAGAAGTGATCAAAATAACAATGATATAAGGCCGGAAAAATGGAAAATGATGTGAAATGTAGGGATGAGAAGACTTTCAGAAACCAGATGGCGATGCTAGAACCCTTATCAACATAAAGGTTTTGATAAATATGAGCTAAGGAAACTTGCGTGCATCATTCTATACATTATGGCATTTCTGGCATAGACTTAAAGTTTGTTTTCAAAATCCAAGTCTACCGGTTTAATGGTTTTGCTTTTCTTCGATTCTAAATTGTTGTAGTAGGTTGACTGTCATTCTTTCAAGAATCCTTGGTCGGCAAAGGTTGGCAATAAAATTAATTAGCATACATCATGACCAATATCATACCCACCAAATGAGCTCAAACTTTTTGATGTTTCAGATTCCTGCTACACAAATGTCAAATGGCGCAGCTCGGAATCTTGGCATTCTTTTTCCTGAAGCTGAAGTCCTGGAAACTGCAGAAGAAAAGCCGTTACCTCTTAAAGTAGCCATTGACGATGATTTTGAGGGAAATAAAAAGATCGTAGATACAGAGCAATCATTTGAAGGTATACAATACACATTGGTTGGAACACTTATTTCAAGTTACAGTACTGTCCAGAAAAAACCGTGACTAACCTAGGTCAAACGTCGGTCTGACCAGGTCAAACTTAGGTCATACCTTGATCAAATCAAGGTCCAACGGCGGTTAGACGGAGGTTAAACTTTCTTACGATTTTTTCTATTTGGTTATTGTGACGTCCTCCTCTGCTGTTCATAACATTTCGTTCGGAGCGGCTACTGCGCTGGTATTTTTTCCCTTTTGGTCGTCTGCGGTTTCTATCGGTCAACGGCAACCGAACCGCAGTGCATGCTAGGTTGTTTTTGGACAGTACTGAAAATGATCATGAATCCCTTAAAAAATTGTCATTTTTTTATACCAGTGAGATTACTTCTAATAATTGTATTCCATCGATAACCTTACATTAATCATTGGAATAACCAGTGTTATATGATTATGTTGCCTATACTATTAAAGGAACTGTTTGTAATACATGCACCATGCAATTTTCCTCGCAACTTGCAATGCAATTATAATTTTAAGTTAGTCCCTAACTTTAATTCACAGTTGTTGATTATACGTATAATTAATCGATCATGTACTAATCATATAATGAATTAATTTTCTTTGGGATTTTTGTGCAGGCACTCTGTACCCGGTGGTTTGCTTACTTTCATTATGCATGCACCTCAGGGATTAAGTGTCCCAATATAGAGAACACAATACTCGATTGCCTGAACGATCGCTTACGATAGTTAAGATAAACATTCCTAGCATGTATGAGTATTTCCCCGTTGTTGTAAAAAAATTGAAAAGAACGCCAAAGCCAAAGAGTGCCAAGGTCTACGTTTGCTTCTTATAAAAGATCAACTTCTAATTTTTGACTTAGAAACATGACAAAAGGTATCGAAAATATCAATGGCAAATTTTTCCTGTTGCAGATTCTGAATACTTGACCGTTATTGACGAATGGGAGATGCCACGCGAGGTCCTTTCAATAACCAGCAGGAAACTAGGGTCAGGTCAATTTGGTATTGTGAAGAAGGGAACATTTCGTAGAAGTGATGCAAATGGAGAGAATATTGATATTCCTGTGGCAGTAAAAGTTCTTAGAGGTAAATTATTGCACTAGAAACGCTAATCTTCCAAACCTTTGCCAACACCAACCGCGATGCGGCTTTTGCTCTACCATACACCAACCGCGATCAATGGCGAAGCCAGCCCGACAATTTAGTCATGCTATGCTAATATTTTGGAGTTCATCAACTGTGAAAACAATGGATTTCTAAAGAAATGAATAATGATAATAATATTAAAATTTGTATAGTACGACTAAATCGTCAGGCTTGCTACGCCAGTGACCGCGATGCTGCTTTTGCTCTGGCATTTTCTTTTGTCTTGCCATTTGCTTTATCTTCTTTTTTACTATATGATTGCATCGAGTATATGGAGTACAGTAGCAAATACAATCTCCCAATAAGAAAATAATTTTACATCTTCTATTTTTCTTTTGCAGAAAACGCTACAGAAATAGATCGCTCTGATCTTTTTACAGAATTGCGCATCCTCAAATTTGTCAACGTTACCCCTCATAAAAATATTTTAAAACTTATCGGTGCGTGTACTTCCGAAGGTAAGCTATTGAAATGGGATGCATATATTATTCAACAGTACTAGTAATGTGGTTACGCAGACTTTCTATTGTCTGCTTTCTTTCTCATATACTAAGATTTGCGTGCATGGGACCAATCTACGTCACCCCAAATCATTCGTAACGGATGCACAATCCAAAGTTAGACTTTTTTTAAATACGATTTGAAACCCTGATGAAAGTTACAAACAATTGTAGAATAATTATTTCGTGTCATATAAACCTTTATGTATATTTTACATTTTTAGAACCTTTTGCAGTTGTAACAGAATTTTGTTTGAAAGGAAATCTTAAGGATGTTTTAAAAATGTACCGAGAAATATTGAATGGAACAATTCCTGCAAGTTCAGAGCCGAGATTAACCGAGGAACAGTTGCTTAGTATAGCGGTAGACGTCGCTGCTGGAATGAAACACCTGGCGGCGATGCAGGTGAGAAGTTAGTTGACAATGCATTTGGGAAAATGGGTGAAGTTGGAATACTTTGGGCAAATGCATTGTTATCAATTAGAAATATATCAGTGGCGTACGGGAGACAGTAATTGGGTGGGAGCACATATTCATATATTCATGTTAACAGACCTGTAAAGGCAATGGATTTGAAAATTCTGTAAATCAATCTTGCACAACATGAATATATGAGTATGTACCCCCCCCCCTCCAATTATCGTTTCCCCTACGCCACTGAGCCATTAAATTAAAAGATAATTACGTTGACCATGCCGACAACAGATACTGCAGTTAAAAATTACATGGATGTCACAATTACTTTTTTTTCAATTTCATTATATTTTTATACGTATACTTTTGCAAGAAGCTACACTGTCAAATTACCTGTTTTCAAAGTATGAAGTTTCTAAAAAGTGTTACTTCAATTTGGATAAAGCTTCTAAACTTTATACTGTATATTTTGGGTTACGTAGCGCTATTTTCGAGTTATTACGTAGCTAATTCGACGACAATAGGCCTTTCTTAAAATGACGTCAAACATGGAAGTTTCATGTTAAGCAAGATTTGTTTGGCTCCTCAAAGCTATCGAGCCAATCATTATAGAAAATATCTATTGCATTGATTATTACAGCACGTCATAAAATCTCATGAATACATCTGTCCAGACACGGACTCTCCGTCTTTGATTGATGACTTTTCTCTATATTTTCGATAGTTCGTCCACCGTGATCTTGCCGCACGGAATATTTTGGTCACAGAATCATGGATTGCAAAAATATCAGACTTTGGTCTCGCAAGAGAAACATCAAGCGGAGAATACAAAAAATACCGCCGGGTATGTAAGGCTTTAATTTCAGAAGCTAGCATATTTTGCCCTTCCTTCATCAAATAGATATATCCTCCGCATAGCAATATAATTGGGAGGAGGCTCTCCCAAATTCTCTTTCACCCCCAGGTCTCTTTTGAGATTAAATATTAGCAATAGACGCTTGTTCAGAGGAAAGTAATACGATAATCCTCGGAGGAGTAGATTTATCATTGAAATTTCTCAAAATATGGGAAATCAAATCGTAGAGAGTTAAAAATTTAAAAATTCCACATCTATAAATGATCAATTTCCAGCTGGGACTAGTTGCGTAATGCATTCCCCTCCCTCAGTTTATAACGGTTTCCTAAAAAAGGCCTATAGTTGCGATTACAAAACGAAAACAAAAAGTTGCGTAGGGGATAGTTTGAAGTAAAGTAATTGTAATTTCATTTTAAGAATTTGTTGCCTGTGAAATGGACGGCGATTGAGGCTTTGGTTGAAGGAAAATTCACCTCTGCCAGTGACGTGTAAGTGTTAGTTATATATGTCTGAACCATAGCATTTTGTTGTCTGAGCTCCGAACCCAAGTACAGTGGCGTAAATAGAACGATAATTGGGGGGGGGGGTGAATATTCATATAATTACTCAGTTGTGCCCGACGGATTTCTTTTGCAAATAATAGCGCTTAGAAAAGAAATCCGTCGGGGCACATATTCACCCCCCCCCCCTTCCTAAATTATCGTTTTAGTTACACCCCTCTAAAATTTGGATCATGCTTTCTTTTAGCATTCTATACGAGCGTTTAAAATTAACGATGCTAAATTAACCAAGATATAGGATTATATTTACTGGCGACGGCTGGTAACAAATGGCGAATAATTTAATTATCTAGTAGATGAACTGCAGGCAACCTTGGTGACATTTAATTTCGGTCACATTCAGTCAATTTTTTATGTCGCATGGCTAACAAGTTGCATGGTTATTAGTTCACCGTGTAAACGAACTAGTGTAAACGAAGTGAAATTTATGTAATTTATGTATTAAACATATTTTTAGGTGGAGTTACGGTGTTCTCTTATGGGAAATATCAAATATTGGTAATAAAAAAATGTCAAATTTCTAAAAATTGAAATGCTTTAGAAATAGCTTTGATTTTTACCGTAAACCAGTAATTATTCACAATTTTTGGCGTTGTTCATATTAATGAAGTGGATACGTTTGTTCCTATTTTGAAGGAACTGTTTGAAACACTCTTTGATTGTTGGTTATTTCCTCATTCATTAAGGCGGGTCGCCGTACAAAGGAATCTCACCGCATGATATTATGACTCACGTTGGTTCAGGCGGTCGGTTAAGTAAACCTGATCGTTGTTCACCTTATCTGTAAGTAATTTCTCTAAACAGATTTGACCTTGATACCTGCATGCCAACATTGTCATGAAATTTTCCAAGGAAAAAATATTCTTTTGTTGCATCACTTTCGTTACAAGCCTTGCATGGTATACTGCCCTTATCCTCCTATCCGTTTTATGTCGAGTGGTCAAGAGCGAGTTTTTGTGCTAAACCTTGAACTATGAGATTTCTTTGATTTTTTTTAGAAAATCAATCTTTATAGTTTTCTTAAATTGTATGTAATTTGAATCCCAGGGACTTAATTGGATTAGTTTAGAAAAATTTAACGAGCATCGTCCCTTTTTCTGCATGATTTGCAGTTTGTAATAGAGTATGCGTAATTGAATATGACACCCCTCGCACGATCTCTTAAATTAATGATACTAAATCTAACAAATTATATTACCACAAACTTGTCCTTGTAGTTATCCGCATCATATGCACTGAATTTCTTCTGTTCTTATTTAAAGATTCTCAATCATGTCAGGGTGCTGGGAGACGTTCCCAGAGAAACGGCCTACGTTCACCGTTCTGCATCAAAAACTGTCATCGATGTTGGAAGAATCAGAGGTATACATAATAGTATGATGCACGTGAAAATATAATTCACACTTTTATCATATCTTTAAACTATGCATGGTACAGAATGGTATATTGTTGCCCAAGTAATGAGCAAACTTTTCATAACGACAAACAATGCATTATACACGGGGAACAAATGGCAGTGCTAACCGGTACAGTATAATGCAATCTGTAAAAAATGTTGTTTACAATAGTTGTTGTTTTCAGCAAGAAAGAGTTCATTGAGAAATTAGAGGCTAATTTTTCAACCTAGGTTTCACAGTTTCAAAACCGTTCTGTTTTTAATATTTTTCTTTCAGGCAACCTATATTAATGTTGAGTTCATGCCAGACAACGACGAGAGGAGAGATGAGGAAAAATTTGAAAGATACACACCATCAGTGTTACAACACAGTGCTACGATTAAATAAATACAGTAGAACGTTACAAATGCGCCCTGTAATGATCAAAACTTGACCAGAGTGAATATTTTTGTTTTCAAATCATGAAAAAAAAACTTGTGGGAAATAATAATAAATTGGCCATAAATGTATTGCATAAATAAGTTGCTAACCAATGTAATAGTGTTTGAGAAACAAAAACTCACGTTCGAAGAACAAAAAGTCGTTTGACACAAACTTAAGTCTGCTCATTAAAATAGAGAGGCAAGATAAAGTATGAAATATTTACATAGGTGCCTGTGGACTAATTCAAAAGTAAATTCCGAAGGAAATTTGTCACGAAACGTATAAATGCCAAAAGATTTGAAATGAGAGTCAAATTGTAGAATTGATCGAGATTGATTTGAATTTGCGTAAAAAAGTAGGAAATACATCTTTTATAAGATTTAAAAATGAATATAATATGCTGTTACAATTTCGGTATGAAGTCAAATGTGATTACAAAGATTTGTACAATGCGTGTACCAAACCTCACAGAGTGCAATTATTATTATTTGAAAAAATAAAAGCGCGATTAAAAAATTTGATTAGAAGACTGTATAAATGATATTATATTTCATTATTAAAGCTGAAAACATAATAGAAAAACGAAAACATCATGGAATTAGGTTAATCTAAATGACATCACGATGACACCCAATTATATAAACACCTTTAAAACACGTAAATCAAATAACTTTGGGCAATCGATCTGTAAATGCTGCTCGAATTGAGTTTATAATAATTATTATACAGCCTTGATCATAATCTGAATCGCAACAAAATTAATGTCACTCATGGGCACAGTTGACACTTTAAAAGTCCGAAGTTTCGCGATAAGCAACATTAAGTGTTTATACGATGAAGATTTTCCGGAGCTGCTTTGAAGGTTTAATGCATGGCAAATTGTGGTCAACTAATACTTTTGTATCGCGGTTACGTCGGCATTAGAGAGGAAATTACATGGGCATCTTTGTTGGCAGAGAATACACGCCTTTATGAACGGAAATTCCTTTATACAATCATATACCTGGGGAGCAGTAATTTTGACTGGCAATGCCCACATAAAGAGAGGAAACACCTCTAGGAAATTTTACATTTTTACCTGTTTTTGTTATCTAGAAAGATGACAAAATGGATCTTCGTGCAGAATAAGGTAATCCTTGCCCGTGCATGGGATGTCACATGTTAAATCTGTTCAATTTTCTCCTTTATATAATTATATATGAAACGTTAATTAAGCCAGTTAAGCAGTTATATTAAAAGTATTTACCGGTATACTGTTAATATAAGTGTAATAAATGTCGTGATAGGTAACTATTCTCCTGAGTAGCGTTAACTTTTCAAACATATAGTTAATAACTTAAATAACGTTAAATTTTTGGAAGTTAGAAAACATTAAAAAGAAACAATATTATAAGGTTTTAACCGTTATCAACTCAAAGGAAGCCCCCTGAAAGTTTCAAAGCTTTCAAGACGCTTTTTCAGTCTGAATGCAACGGAATATATTTTTGGTTTAGATAAAGTTTGAATGCCGAATTAAGGAAGATCCTAGAAAGGATTAGCTAACGCTATTTTCATCGGCAATTCTTTTTATAATTTGACTCATAAATCCCTTTTCATATTAACTGCGCCTCTTTTCGATGAAATATTTGATATTTTTTATTCTTTTTAGGCATTTTTTAATATTTTCAATCAAAATAGCAACAATTTGATTTTTGCAACGTACTAGAGTACTACGGAATCTTCTAGAGTGCGTATATAACAGCTAACAATAATTTCCGAATTCATGTAACGCCTCTGTTTCATCATCTTACGCAAAATCCACGGGCAGTTAACTTTCGATTAAGGACCTTAAGATACACCATATCTACGACGTGGACTTGAAGTAATACTGTCCACATTTTTTCACAATGGAATTATATTTTAAATAAAAATTATGTTGTCCTTTTGGTAAACAAGAACAGGGCTGTTTGTAAGATACATTTAAACGGGGTTCCTAACACTACCGACTGATTTTATGTCACACCTGTGCGGTAGATTTGACTTGTCTGAACCATTGGACTAACCACGTTTTCTGCAACGCATGCGCAGTTAAGGTGTGTAGTTAACAAATTTATAAATGTTTGTGGATAACAAATTAAGGCGTAAAATTATATGCCTTTGCTTTTCGATATCAAATTAGTTACGTCTAACTAAGATGATTAAGGCTGACGAACTACAATTTACTTTAACTATCTTTTTTATACAACCGGTGCCTGTAAGTCACGAACATATAATAGCGCAACATTTGATGAAAAGATTGGATATTTAAGCAAACCAAATGGCAGTTAATTATCATGCTTGGCATGCCATGAGGGTTCTTTGGAGTTTGAATTTGCTTTTATTGTATTTCATTAATTTGAAACAAAGAAGTGGCACTCTAAAGATGCCTAAAAGAACACCTTTTCTAATAGTTTAGTAATATTGGCTCAAATATCAAAGCGGAAAGTGTGGGCAGAATAGTATGAAATTTAAAAGACTTCTGTGTTAAAAAAATTGTTCACAAAGCCAAATATAAGAAATAACATTTCAACGTAGAAACTCGTTTTACGCTTAATTCGTTTCATTCGGAGTCGATTCCTGTTGTTTTCGACTACAGAATATAACAATTAGAAGTAAGTGGTGCTTATATAATTCACAGTGTGTTGATTTCAGCTGATATACACTCGTGCCATCGCATCAATTATTCAATTATGTGGCTTCGAACGCGTGTTAATTAATTTTTACTTTTATCACATTATTTTAGGTTTCGATTCTGACATATAAGCTTTTATTCTAACTTAAACTAAATTGATTGGTAAGGTCTTAGTAAACGAGCTAGAGCATGCACTAACTTCGTAATAATCAATGATATATCAACTCTGTATGTATACATACCGTTATAAATTATATTGAAATACATCGATTAAATTTTTATTTAGCTAGACGATTATTTACTTTTTTTAAATTAGATACTACCATTAATTTTCCAATGATTTTGCCAAAGTGACACACAAACATTTAGGTATACAAAGCTATCTGTTGAATAATTATTTAGACTATATAATAATAGCTATATGCAACAATTATAACAAAAAGTCCTCATTCGTGCATACGCAAATTAAGTACATTTCAATAGTATTAATATCTTATTATCTATGATCTGATTTCATTATTTAGAGAGAGGGTGTATAGATGCAGTATATTTTGTCGGAAATCCGCGATGTATTTAAAATACCAAATAACAAGTATCCGTGAAGAGTGATCAGCAAAATCATTGCACAAATTCTTTGACTCCGTACTCCTTCTCCAAGAAAGATGAACTTAGCCGTTGTATATTCCACATTATTTTTGGCAGTACTAATTGACGGGAAAAGTTTTCCAAAATGCTCAAACACAGGTAAAACTAGCGATAAACATAATCCCCGAGCCAGCTCGGAGCCGTACAAAGGCACTAATTCCACTCAGAGATTTTAATTCCACCCGTGTATTGTACCCATGATTTAAAATCAATTCCTTCTTTATCTCTATATATAATGAATATTTTGGTGCATTACTCCGGAGATATTGGTTAAATAACTATTTTTATCTCATGGTTTTACCTATAGAATACTGTAGCTTTACTAAAATCATTCGAATCTCTAATCGGAATGCCATAATAATTATTATTCCTCCAGTCCGTACCTCTGGTGGTTAAAATGTGACTACTAAGCGAGGTTGGGACCCTAAATATAATTCTACATAGATTTATAAAATGAGAAATTCCCCGCGACCATTCAATGAGAGATAACTGAGATAAATGCATCTTGAACAGCATCTAATTCCTTTTAATTTGATATAAAAGAATTTGATGCATCAGCTCTATGATTCGCATTTGAGTCTGCTGACTATGAAAACATCATATTGAGCAGAGTTTGCGCTTAATACGAAACACATTGACAACAATTTCAGTAATTTAAATGCTAATCATATATATTATTATACTCATTAGTTCCGCTTAATAAAAACATATTCGGCACAGTTGCCTTCAAACCAGGCGATATAGTGCTTCCGGGAACAAACATGACTGTTCTTTGCGTCGGAACTGAGGGAAAAGCACCGATAACGTCGAGACAGGCTGATTATGAAATTGCTCGGATCGACATCTTTGGTCCAGATGGTGGTCATCTGCGCAGATGTACCGTAGATTTCAATAAACTTCAAGCTTGTCATTATATTATAAATGGAGTGAAAAACCTTGGTAACTTTCAATACAGCTGTGCATTCGTTGCACGGAACAGTGCGTTTAGTTGTCTTGCAGAGAAGAATTTGTCAGTCGTTGAAAACGGTAAGAAATCCGGAAATTATCAATATTTTCATAAAATAATGTTATCTATACACAGGCAAATCGAGAAGTCGCGCAGGACTATTAATTAAGTGGATGTAGCGAAATCATTGAACTTGCACTCGTAAATTAAAGCCTTATAATAAATTCTATCGATCATGAGGGGAAAAAATTGAAAAGTTGAATACGTTAAAATTTAATTTTTTTTGTTAAGTTTGCCAAGCAAAACCATGCGACAAGAATGCTATTTGTAAGAACACGGCAACTTCATTTGAATGCAAATGTAAACAAGGATTCAATGGAGATGGAAAAAACTGCACAGGTACATATGTATGCTTTCAGAAAATATTAGCCATATACAAATTGTTTAGAGAATAAATTATATGAAATCGCTGAGAATGCATGGTTATTATCATAATTATTTACACACATTTTACACGATATCATCTCGAACATGCTTCTCAACATCTAAAATTAATACGAAATACAAGGAAAAATAAAATTTGGTTTTCAGATGGCCGTTTTATTGATCAAGTTAATTGACGTACAGCTCTCTGAGTTTATGTGCATATAACCTGGCGGTCAAAAAGAACTGCTCAAACACAAATTATTAAAAAAGGAGTAATATAAGAGAGAATTAATGCATTTCTAATTATGCACAGCATGCACGAAAAATAGGAGAGGCGAACGTACACGATCGTTTTGTAACAATCTCTCATTCAAAGCACTTACACATTCAAAACTCCTGCATTGCATTGCGGAATTAATCCAGAAAATGTCAATGACTTATTGGTCGTTGTAGTGACTGCCGGTGATGAGTTTCCTTTAACTAAGATTATAACCTTAAGATGGTACGCCAGAAAAAGAGCATTTGCATATTAATTGATAAAATTAGAAAGATCGAAATGTGTTGAAGTAGAAATGTTTGATTCTTTTAATTCTAGTTGACAGCACAGACATTCACGTGCTAAGTTCACTTCAGCAGTCGTTTCGTAGTTTAGATATACACGTCCAAATAAAATTGCGTAATCGTCCCGAAGTTAGTTTAAGTATATTGCTGCAAAAACTCTCCCTCAGTTCTACCATAAAACTAAGCTCTCAAACGACTAAAACATACTTGGCACACTGGTGTCTGTGCTGTGAACTAGACGCTAAAAAACAGATATTAAGTATTTTAAGATATTGCGATATTTTCAATTTTATAAATATGCCTTTTTGTAGTGTACCACCTTAAAAGAAAATATGCATGGCGCCCGGTGTAAGATTAAGGCCAAAAAAGATCAATAATGTAGTATATCTACTCATATATGTTTTGGGAGTGACGGTTTAGCGTTTTGATCAGTTCTTTTTGACCGCCAGTTTGTAATGTTAATTGTTTTGTTTTATTACATAGGCAATAATTATTCCAAAATTAATTATAAAAGCATAGTCAGTTCTTTGAAACATACTCAGTACATTAGAACACTGTACATTTGAAACATATTCAGTACATTGGCAACAACAACATTGATTTGAATATCTTTTTCAAAGCTAACAGAGGGTGTAACTCAACTCCATCACCATGCCATGAAAACGCAATTTGTGAGAATACGATTAATTCATTCCAGTGCAAATGTGTGCCTGGCTTTACAGGAGATGGCAAGATTTGTACAGGTTTGTTTCTTTTGGATATTTACAAGCGTGGAATTTAAAATACGAGTCCAGGCTTGGACTCTTTTGTGCAATGTAGCCTCTCGTTCTCTTTCTACAAATCTTTCTACAAAGTTTCTACAAATCGTTCTCTCGCTTTTCGAGGTAATTTTTTTCTAGTAGTTTTTACTGTCAGCTAAGAGAGCTAAGCAAGAAGGTGCTAAAATACTTTGACGTATAAACATATTTTGAGATATTTTGATAAAGTGTTAGTTTTCTAAACATTTTAAAAAATCTCAGGCGAAGCGAGCCTGAAAATTTGGCAATGCTATAAAAATTTCAAGTCATTAGATATATTAAATTCTTTAGAAATGCATTATTTTCGCAATCAATGACATGACTAAAATTGTCTGGCTGGTTACGCTACTGTGGTCATGTAATATTTGTTTTAACTCTAACAATCATATACTAAAATATATACTTCAATTAAACCTAGAACTACGGCAGTGTGGCGTCAATTCTGTTTGCAATACCAAAGACGATCCTGTAAATTGCCTGCTGCTAAATCAAACAGTTCGCTGTAAATGCAATGGAAATTTAATTGGAAATGGAACGCATTGCTTGGAACCAGTGAATAGTAAGGAACTTACAATTTATTGTTGTTTCGATTGTGGCCTATGTCTCAATTAAACCAAGTTATTGTTCAAGAAAATTCTCCGTGTTGTGTTCGAAGACGAAATTTAAAACTAAAATAATTATTTCAATAGAAATTTACCTCCCTGTTCCTGTAACGAGATGGTGTTGCCATTGATCCAAGTGAATTCGAATTAGAAAACTCCACTGCAGTTACATGATTATAACTCTCCTCAATTCTAAATAGTAAAGTAATTAAATGACTTTAAATTCATTCCAAGCATTTGCAATTTAGGAAATACTCTTTACAGACTCGTAGCGAATCGTATGGCAATAGTCTGTAGTCCATTTTTAATGACACTGCGTGCATCTGCCAGTGTTTGTCATGCCGGTGCCGATCAGGCTTGCCAGAATTTTGAAGGCAAAACGGCCAATGGTAACAATGGCACTTTGTTTTCTTTGTATTGGCTTTTTGCTTTTTTGTTTTCTTGGCAGTACTAATGATAATTTTGCATCGAATATTTACATACTGTATCTGGCAACCCTGATAAAGATTAACGCGATTTACTGTCAATTCGCTTGGAATCAAAATTAGCACGCAATCTATATATCCATTCTGGATTTTAAACAATACTGAAAAATTGGGAAAAAATGTGCAGGACCAAAATACAGTAAACTAGCTCTGTATAAGTGTATAGTTAAATTTGTGGTCCGTCTATTTTAGATATTCCAAATGCTTTCAGCAGTAAAGGCAATACAACTAAAGTCATTATCGCTGTCGTTGTTCCAACTTTTGTTTTACTTGCCGGGCTTCTCATTGCTTACTGGCTTTACCGAAAACAAAGAAACGCACGGCAGGAAGAGGTATTCAATAGCCCTATACACGAGGTTAGTTTTATTTACCTATACTCTCTATTTTATGTTTAAAATACGAGCGGCCGTGTTGCATTGAATAACACAAGTGGACGGCCGCGAGCGTTGTAAACAACTTGAGGAAAAATTTGTACTATAATTTGTACTATAAGATTTGAATAGATATGGAAATCAGTTACAAATACTACAGGTTGTCCGTTGTATTTTTCCGATAGATCCACTCGTATTTGTAACTGGTATGCACATTCATTCAAACTAATTTCTATGGGTATACAGGGTGTGTATGTGACCAAATTCACGAAATTTGGTTCGGTATAAACCTCATAATTATTTATGAATTCACATACAATGTTAGTGATTGAATACAATGTAGATCATCTTGTTACCTCGAGATTTTTCAGGCAATGGTTTTCCTCACTTCTCCCAGTTTTTCCAAAAGCAATTGAAAACTTTTATCCTATAAACTAAGAAAAATTACAGTAGTTAAGATGATGCAAAGAAATGATTTGAATAACATAGCTATAGACTAAATATAACTAGACTTGGCATTTTCAACTCAAGAGAATTAATATTTGAAAACTATTTTCCCTAGTTATTCGCATGAGATATAATTAAAACACATAAGGATATAATAGAATTTTTGTCAGATAGAAGAAGTATATAATTATTATGATTTTATGGCCACATTCTTAATAGTTAAACAAAGCACGAAAAGCCTCTAAAGACAACATGGACATTCTATTTCCTGAACACCCAAAGGATGTAGACAGTTCCCCAAGGAGAAGACTACCATCCATTCACGAACATAACAGTAAAGAAGAAAAAGAGGAAGAAGGCAAGTGGTGAAGAATATTGAAATATACTATTAAGTCTCATATAGGAAACTTAGCAACATTCCACCAAATAGCACCCCTACTCTCAGAGTTGTTAGTTGACCTAAAACTATAAAAAAGACAAAGCTTCAGACTATATTATTTTTCCAAGGAACTGGTGGCCTGGTGCTGTTTAGATAAGCTTATCCTTCTCGTTAGCCAGGGCCTATTTGCTTTGCAAAATAGCCAAAAAACTTATATCCTATTCGCATTTTAATGCACACAATTTTTAATTGTGTACATGCATGTTCAAAAAAATATATCAGTAAAATACTGCAATGAAATGATTCCACATTTCTAGAAATCATGTCCTACATTTGTGTTTTGGACGACTGGGAAATCAAAAAGGATGATCTGACAATTCTAAATAAGAAGTTGGGTGGAGGATGTTTTGGTGTTGTGAAGAAGGGACTGTACACAAAGAAAGAGAACGATAGAGAATTTGTGGCTGTTAAAATGCTAAAAGGTAGCTATGCAGTTTAATCATGTTTTAAAATTTTTACAATTAAGTTGCTGCGCTCGTATGCCATCAATGTTTGCATTTCTTTATTGCGAGAAAAAGGATCGAGCAAAGATTTGCCATTCCAAATTAGTGAATGCGATTGCCCTAATCAAATAGTACAATGGACATAGCACAATGACGGCGGAAGATCGTTAAGTCGGGGAGGCGGGGGGGGGGGTAATATTGATACATTCATGTTAATAGAAAACAAACTAATAATGTTGAATGTAAATAAATTACGATACCCCCCGCCGTATTAACTATGTCTGGAAAAACAGAAACCAGAATGAATTTTATAATATCAAAAAAATGGGTTAGAACGACAATGCGGCCGTCGATATCAACGCCCAAAAGTCCACTTTAAAATTGGAGTTTTTAGTCGATTAGAAACTAGAATCCCAATCTAGAAATGCTTACTTACCGTAGTGAGAAAGGCTCTTCGCGTGTGTGATATATCAATTCTTTCCATTGAAACTCCGGAGGTTTATAGTTCGGTACCGCAATCTGTCTTTGGGCTTTATGTTTGATGCAGCTTCGCTTCATTTTACACACGTATATAAAAAATGCTTTTAGAGTTGCTCCTGAGAACATTTTTACCCTGCATACAGATTAAACTGCAAACTTTCAATGCAAAAAATGTGCATTGAAATCGCGGGCAGGCTTGCCGTGGAGCAGCGAAGATAAGAGTAAAACTGCTGACATAAGCAAAAATGCTAAGCAAATAGCGAAACATGTCCCCGAACATTGAATACGGGGTATTTTGGAATATGAAATTTGATAAATATGAATATTTTCTTTTTCGATAACCTATAGTTATATAAATATAGCTTTATATGGTTACAATAATGTAATATTACATTTTTCATGTACTTCAAAGACGCACCATCGGCGGCAGACCGCTCGGATCTCTTAATGGAGCTATTTATTTTGAAAGAAGTTAACAAAACTCCACATGAAAATGTCATAAAACTTATTGGGGCGTATACCAGCGCAGGTATTTGACTGAAAAAAAATATGTTGAATGTAAATCTGTTTTTACTGCAAATTTGTAATGTTGAGAAATAATAATGTGATAATAATTATAGTCAATAACGACTAATCTTATTTAAAACTACGATTTCAACGTCATAAAGATGAACATTGTTTTTGTAATGTAGAACCTATCCTGGTATTAACGGAGTTTTGCTCACGTGGGAATCTGCGGTATCTACTAAAAAATAGTCGAGTGTCAGTGACTGATGACAATAACGAAGACATATCACAATACAAAAATGTTTTTTCAACATTAAGCCACAGAAAACTACTTCAGATTGCTGTTGATATAGCATGTGGAATGAAACATTTGGCTGCAAGTCAGGTACGAGTCTGTAATAAACAGTTAATTCCTAGCAACGTCATTAATTTGACTCTCACCCTTATTCAATTTTGTGTTGGCAAGCAGAAGAAAGTACAAAACTATTGATTTTCTTTCAAATGCGACCGATCAAATGAGTATACGATACTGTAGAACTCTCACTAATGAAGAAAATCAGGCGAAAACTTTCGTACGACCGAGGAATTTAAAGTTTTGCCGTGTTCCCTGCACGAAAGTATAGAATCGCTCATATGGCGAATGTCAATGTCAATATTTAATGGGTAGATGTTACATGGATTTTCAAAAATATTATTAGTATCATCAGACAGTTCAACCATACGAAGCCTATATACGTATAGTTACACATTTGAACCCAATCAGTTGGCCGAATGTAGAAATAGGCAAGAAAAGTATATTTGTATTACCAAAACGTTGAAAAACTGTTTATCGGCGAGAAGGACTGTGATGATGGATCTGACCAAATTAATGATGGATTTCAATTCATTACTAATAATTACTTGGTGCAATCAGTTTGTTCATAGGGATCTCGCAGCAAGGAACATTCTCATTTCAGCCAACTATGAGGCGAAAGTGTCTGATTTCGGTTTGGCCAGGCCGATCACTGGGGTCGAACAAATGTATGTCAAGTCAAACAGAGTACGTAATCTTAACATTGTTGTTTGTTTGACTATTGATTGTGATTCATAACTGGGTTTTTCTAAAATGACTTTTGGAACAGAAACTTTCATGGGGTTGTGGCATGAAACGCCTTTACACTCTAGTAACGTTTTTCAGGCATTTGCATGGTATACAATGTATATTTTTAGTCCATATTTTTAGTTTTCTGTTCTCATTTTTATTTTCAGAATTTATTACCGGTGAAATGGATGGCAGTTGAATCACTTACACAAGGAATATTTCGAACTTCAAGTGATATGTGAGTATTATATGAGCAAACATGAAAACTTCTCTAAATATATCGGCCATATACGGAGAGCGATAAAGGACTGGTAATAGCTTGTGTATTAGGGCATAATAATGTTAGCTTGAATATTCCTTTGGTCTACGTCATCAGGAACAGTCAAATTGTTGACTTGACTACTACAATTCCTGGCTCATCTGCATGCAACATGGAAATAGGCAACAACTGCACCCATGCAGCACTGGTTCCCCGACTTATTGCTGTTATTTAATGTAGTCACAGCGCACCAACTCTAGAAGGCTATCAGCACTCGTACATTGGTCTAAAACCAGCCTAATCGATCGACGATGGACGATCAGATTAGAGTCGAGATTGAAACCGGCCTGTACGTGGCACACAGGCAAATATCCCACAGTAATATTTCGATGCTTTTTTAAATAGTAATTATATCATTTTCTAGTCGTGTAGACAGATGTCCTTGTTTTCCTATCGCATGACTCTTCTAACGTTACTCAGAACTACACCGTTGCAGCTACAAAACTCTGGTGTATTATATGACAAACCTTTTTTTTATCCTGTTTGTTTTTCTAAAGGTGGGCATACGGTATTGTACTCTGGGAAATCACAACATTAGGTATACCATGTTTTTTACATACTAATTGATAGGGTGACTCGTGTACACATCATGACACGTACACCACGCGAAGAATTACTGAATTTTTGGCAAACAGTCGTGATGCTGTCTGACCTTCGATGACTGTCCACAACAACGTAATGATTCATAAATGCAGTTTAGAAAGAGTTCAAACTGAAGTCCTGTCAAATAACTGGCCTAAAAAGATTGAGAGCTGGGAGAGTCAGTACTTGATATTGATTCTTTTCTACATGAAACTTTTTCAGGGAAGGAGCCGTACCCCGATATCTCCCCTTTCGATACATTCACCTTTGTCACATCAGGAAATCGTATGGAGCGACCTCCTCATTGCTCAGAAGAACTGTAAGTTGCAGTGACTAAATTGCAATAATTTTTCAGTTTAACTTCATTTAATTTTCAATTATTAACTATAGCGAATGTAAATTGAACGCCGAAACGACACCTTTTCGACAACAACTTATGTTCTTCGGTCTGGAAGATTCTTTAACACTTTTTTTAAAAAAAGCTTGTTAATCTTACTTGCATGCATGAACATAGAGAGAGCTCCGATGAACTTCGAATGATATATGCACATCACATCCTGGTGTTGCAGCTTGAGTCGTGAATATGGCATTCTTACCAACCATGCATATAAATGATTACGGTAGCGTGTAGTATAGCTAATGAGCTAACAATGTGTAGTATAATCGCTGACAATTGCGCTTTTATTCATTTCCATGGCCAGGTATGGCATAATGAGAAAATGTTGGGAACACGATCAGAAAGACAGGCCATCATTTGAAGAAGTCCATGAAGAAGTCAAGGAAATGTTGGATGAGACCGATGACGTAAGATAAATATTCCTAATAAAACTTCGTTTTTCATTTTCTTTGAAAGGAATTATGTTTTTTTTTGGAAAAAATTGAATCAGTCATAGTGCACTCAAACTGCACCTTTATACTCTTATATCAATGCAGATCACTCATGCAATTAGTTAATCAGAAAGAATGTTTCTAATTATGTCTGGATTGATCCTTATTTTTCTGGGTGTTTGCATGTGCCCGGTTACTCAAGATTCAACGAAGCGTGAGAGGACTTTGAGGTATTGAAATAAGTCTTTATGACACCAAACAAGCCCATGATATTGTTCTGGTGATCATACGACTGCCGGGATGCAGAATAATATTTTGGGCTCACTTTTTCGAATTTGCCTTGTAACCAGGCCTGATTCAAGATGGCGGCCAGCCAGTTGCTAAGCGCACAAATTTATTTTGGGATCACTTTCGCTGGGAGCTTAAATTCTGCGTTCGGAGTTTAAATATAGTGCTTAAATTCTGAAACTTAAATAAAAAATAAAAACCTGTCCCACACATAAACCCTGAAACTAACCAAATGGTATTGTACACGTTCAATTTAAAAAAAAGATTTAGAAAAAAAAAGGAAAAATGAAGTAAAATAATGGTGCTTTACCAAGATTTGAACCGGAATATTTCGCACGCAGTACTCGACTAACAAGTCGTTGCTGAAGCGCTGAAGCAAAGTGTAGTTTAGGTATATTTATAATGCTCAATGTAGAAAATAACTCAAACAGGCACGGTTACAAAGCTCCCATCGAAAGTGATCTCAAAATAAATTTTAGCTGCCGGGGATCGTGTTATCTGCTCATTTCAATACCTCAAAATCATCTCACGCTTCGTTGAATCTCGGTTAACCGGGCTCATGTAAAGAGTCCCCAAAATTATCACGGGGTGTATTTATATACAGTATCTAATATTACACACGTGTAAAAGCAAATAGAATTCTGTTTCATCTATATTCACGCAAAATATTATTTTCATTTTTATCCAGCGAATGTATATAAATGTTATTGAGATGGACGAGGAAAGTCGCAAAGAATTGACTGTTCTTGAAGATCGCAGGATCAGTGTTGAAAGTATGAAAGACTTACGTTATACCGAAGGATAGAAGAAATTACAAGATATTGTAATGTAATCGTGCTTGTTAGAATGATGGATCGACTCGTATAATTGGTTTTCAGATCATTAATTCTAAATACTGAACAAACGGACTTATATTCGCAAAAGAGTATGAAATATATGTTTCCTTATCTATAGTGCAATTTTATTTTGTGAAAGCAGTGAGGAAATCTGGGTGTCAAAAACTGGAATATAGATTATCTTCAGTGTACAATAATAAATGCAATTTTTAAGATTAAAGTCAAACTGTAGCTACTGTGTAACTTGTATCATTTTGTTTTGGATATAATTATATTTTACCACGCATATTGTAGTTTATACATATTAGTATACGGGTATGTTTTCTGTATAACCCCAAGAAAGAGTTGTATTAACACGAACCTTAATTAATAAAGTCTGTTGTCATGTCTAGCGAGACCAATTCCGTGTATACGGGGATTTCGTCCCTGTTTACACTACGGATATCCAATTCGCTTAACATACACATTTCATTTTCCTTAAATTAAGAAGCAATGACTTGTTTGTAGCAAATGGTTTCTTAATATGATAGATCTGACATTTTTCAATCTGTGACAAAAAATTTTTCACTGCCTTTGCAAATTAGAAAGCAATTTAGTATAGTTTAAACGGTGCCTCGCAGCCTTTGAAATGCAATTAACATTGCTTGTCAAGAATCGCGCCCCCTCGTTATTAAAGAACTTTTAATGTTCGTATATACTTCCCACGATCAATAAATTAACAAAGGATCTCTTCTCCGCAAGATGCATGTCTACATGAGGGATGACTACGTCAGAAATTTAATTTAGTGTTCATAAGCTAAGCACACAAGCCTTGCCCAAGAAGTTGGATTGTCACTAGCTCACAAAACCTTTGTTTTTCTAAAAATCATGCAATGGATTTCCGGTTTTTAAACCAGACCTTGTTTTATGCGCCTCTATGAATTATTTCCTGTGAGAAAAGTTAATTTTTCGAAAGGTCCACCAAATTTATTAAGGGTTCAGCTTGTCAGGACAATAGATGTTAACAGAGCGCAATCCAGTATGAATCATGCAATAGGTATAAATATATATTGCCAAATTTATGCTTTCCGATTGGCTGCTGAAGAGAAATATTGATTTCTTATCGGTTTGATTACTTTTCAGTTAATAAGGAATCATTGAAAAAAATCTGGATCTTTGTCGGCGGATCTTTTTAAAAATCTGTTGGATTCAGGCTACAAGTACAAACGCTGAGCAGGGATTTCAACAATGCCGCACCAATGAATTGAATGTAGTGTAAAAACTGGATTTTTGTTTTTGTTGTTCATTATAGGTATATGACTGGTCTTCCTGCCCTTCATTTGCACTATGCAAAATAAGTAATTTAGTGACCACTTTGCAAATAAAATAAAATAATAAATTAAATGAAGCATAGGGATGATAATAGGCTGAGGCGGTTTTTCGGTTTACCGAAAAAGTTCGGGGTTTTTTTGAAACCGGTTTTTAGGTTTTGCCAAAATTAAGAAACCAGAAAACCGAAAAACCGAAAAAAACCTGACAAAATATGACAAAAACCGGAAAAATACGGAAATCGGGTCATGGTAACATGATAGATAGAAAATTTATGTGGGTTTGGTTTTCCCAACCAGAAGAGGTGTGTTTATTGACAGCTCATCTAAGACAAGGTCATTTATCGTACTTTTAGATATCGACGAGTGTTCCGAGGATGGTGATTGCTACTGGGCAAAAGCTGAATGTAAAAATACAATGGAATCTTTCAAATGTTCCAGTAATTCTGAATACTTCCGAAGTTTCGTCATGCATAAATATTAAAAGAATCTAAAACAGGTTTTCTTTCTCAGAATTAACATTTCAAGGGAATGTAACTTATCAGTTCGCTGTTTATAACAAGTATAAATTATTCTTTCACATAGACTAGGACACACACAAGGTATTAGGAATTTTGCAATTTTTAATGATACCTGCATGACTCAGTATGGAAAAACCTATACTTTCTCTGAAGGCGTTTGAGTGACTAAAGACCCTGAAATGGTAACCACCCATCATCATTTGTGTAACCATAGGTCAAGATTTTGAGAGAACAACCTTAATTAAACAGCCTTTAAAAATATTCACTCTTGTCATTTCCTCCTTTATTTTTTTCTATGCAAATTGTGTGAAAGCCATTTATGATTAGTTATCGTCTACTGAATCAACGTCCGTACCGTACTCATATATTTCCACTTAGGTCATTTTCAAAATCATTAATGTCTGCACAAACAATAATTTCTTCTTCATCGTTCACAACTGTTTCATCAACATCGTTATCAGGCAAATTACCATTTCCTAGAAGAATGAAATGTGGTTCGTCAACACTAATGTACGCGGAAAACCATTCTTGTAGCGCCAGTAACGTAGTTTCAATGTACAGAAGCTTTCTTCTCAGAGTTCTTCTCCGTGCTCGATATCAAGAACACGTTCATGGGTTGCCAACGCCACCAAGAATGCGGCGACTATACCGTGCTGCTTATAGAAGTACCTCCACGTATTTCCCATTTCCTCCTTTAGTAGATTTTGTTATACCCTGGAACGGTCCTAGAGATTGTACAAATCGATTGCCTTTCGCTTTACGCTTAAAGGTACAAAACACTCATCAGCGACAGCAACGTTTGGAGATGTGCACCAAAATTCACCATTCGTATCTTTGATTGTATCAAATTTCAACACGGATTGGAAACTGCAAAAAGGGGAACTTTGCTCTTCATTGAACACTTTTACTTCCTTTTTTAAGTCCTTCGTAATATCTTTTGTCTCTAGATGATTATCTACGACCTCAGTCTTCCATGTGCCCATCCTATGAATGATGTTCACATGAAAAGCCCCAAACATAATTCTAATATACTGATATATGGGATTTAAATTCTAAATATCTAAATTCTGATAAGAATTAATATGTTCTATTGTTCTTTAAAAGGCTATTAAACCTGATAGTGCTATAACATGGGATGGTAGAGAAGGAAAATAGTAAATATATGAGGTGATAGCTAAAGGGAAGTCATATATATAACATCCCTCTTAGGTCTCCTGAGGCAAAGGCCTTAAGGCTCTCTGACTGATACGAACATGTATGCATGTGACACATGTAGTGTTATAGAGTGTCATATAGAATTCAACTGCAGGTGTATTTGATATAGATATATAATTATAGTTGAATACTTACAAGGAAAATTTCCCAAAATAATTGTCCAGGACTGACAATAGCGTACAAAAGAAAACAGTCGGGCATAAGCCGAATATACGAATATACCTGCACCTTCCAATCAAGCTTTTAACTATGGCCCTGTGAATTATCGCTTGGTCGGCGAATTATTGAAGAACATACCCTTACCAACCCAAAAGCTTGTGGTACGGCTATAACTTAATTATGTAAAAATTCATGGCAAGATAGAAAGAAATGAATTGCAATAACAAAGAAAACTAAGGAGAATGATTGTAAAAAAGACAAAAATAACTTAACTTGAGGCGAATTTCTAACACTGCAAGAATGGTAAGGCAAAGTAAAGAGATGATAAATAGCAAGAAATGCAGGCCAACATGGCCGCCAAGCATTCGATGCCGGTGCACTGCTAGCTCGTGGCAAGAGCCTTGCAAGGCATCGCCATTACCGAAGTACCGGTAGTTGACCCATTTTTCATCCACTGTTCCTGGCTTGAATTTGAATTGTTTATAATTCAGCTCGAAATTAAGACCCTTTCAGCGTCTTTTAGTTCGTGTTTAAAAATTGGTATCTGACCAGCAATGGTGCGTGTCATGGCTGGCATCGTATTTTTCAGTGGGAGAAGTCAAGTTACCAAATTTGGGAAAAGTTTGTCAGAAAATATGACAATAGATGGCAAAGTACCCATAGGAAGTAAATCAGGACCAGTTTCATTTATTCAGTGTATACAAAAATGGTCTACCGTCAGTGTTGAAACAACCTGAAAGGAACGGGGATGAAGGTTTGGCGGGTATTGAGGATGACAATGATGTAACTACTATTTGTGAATGACACAACAATCTCCGAAATTATTGATATAAAAAGTCATACGTCTAGTGATGACATTGGTATAATGCAACGAGAAATATGTGTGAAGTTCTTCCAAAAGTTTTAAAGTCATATCGTAAAAACTTTTAAATCGCTGTTATCAGGCGAGTCGTCGAATGTGGTGCGCAAGTGTGGCATGGAGGAATAAAAAACGACCAATGTAAACAAATTGAAAATATATACAAAAACTGAAAAAAATGATCTATAAATGCGATGACCACGAAAAAAATCTACAAACTGCAAAGATAGAAAAGTGAGGTTAGAAAATCCACGAGATCGCATAATTACAGTATGTCTTAAATTAATTAGGGATATGACCAATGTGGACGATCAATTACAAGGATGTTAGTTCGAGGGAAACTAGATAAAACAGTCAATGTTCTATACCAATGTTAAAATGTTCTATAATTATATAGCAACGTGCATCTCCTATTTAAATCGCCATGTAGAGACAATGGACTAAGATATCTTCATTCTGCAATTGTAGAGCTTGCTTATTCCTGTTCGCGACGCAGACCGACAAGGTCAAGATATAAGCAAACGAGATGAAAGTAGATCACTATGTAATAATTAATAATACATTTCTTTAAATTATATTGTGCAGAGCACTAAATAGTATACTCTTTTTTAAGTCCTGCATTGACAAAGTATTGACACACTTTTACTATTGATAAACAGTGCATATGCATGTACAAGTATGATTATTTTGAACGGTGGATTAAAACAAATGTTAGCAAGAAACTGCGTCGAAACATTGGCCATCAGCGTTTTCAAACCTGAAATATAGCTAATTTGTATATCACTTACGTTACATTCGATTGGTCTGAGTGTTAAAAACGAGGACAGAACTATATTATAATAGTCATTATACCTGCATGAAGAGGAATACATAAGGTTTACTGTATATATAGTTTTATTATAATGCTAATAAAATTGTAACAGTTC